TTTTCAACCGATATTATATTTTATGTTAATATACTATTTGCTGAACAAAAGTAGAAAGAATTAATATATTATAATTCTTTCTACTTCTGTTCAGCAAAGACGAGGTGTTACTTTATTTCTTTATTTACGTACAAGCTGACGTTTCGGCGGATTTCGCCTTCCTCAGAGTCTGGAAAGGCCAAATTGACAGCAATCTATTCGGCCAAACACCTTCATAACCAAACAGAGAAAGTGCTGAACCAAAATTTCAACCACATTGAACACAGAGTCTTTGTACACCCATCGCTTTCTATGAGTCTTCCACTAAATATGTGAAGACCAACCGCACAGAGCTCACACGGAATCGTATTGTGCCCATCTCATCAAAATAACAGGCTTATATATTGGCCAATATCACGCGTGATAATGAGGCATTCCTCCCTGCGGTTCATTTTCGGATTCTTGGAATTAATCCAAAATGCCTCTAGAGCTTTGGGCGCTTGTATTCTCGATTCTTGCGCGAGGATCGTAACCCTTACTCCAAAATCTTCTCCGTTATGTCTCTGCGTCCTATGCGTGCCTAGTGGAGTATTTGGTTTACGTTTCCCGACTAGCTGTTCTTTTATACGCACGCAGAGTGGTCTACCCGTTTCGCCAACGTAGTTGTCCCCGCACGTTATACGAGTGATCTGATAGAATGTACCCGAACTCATGCAGTCACCGTCTCTGCCATTGGGGCAAATTATGCAATTTTTTAAAAATTTTGCTGCACATAGACGGTCGTATAGGCGGTTATGAACTAGTTGGCGTCTTAGATTACTCGGTGGTATTTCCATTATCGTTACCGAATTCTCTAGACCAGCCCTTCTTACAGTATAAACGGAACCTTATTGTTGCTAGAGTTATCGTTGGGGTACCTGTGATTTTCTCCACACCTATCTTGAGCTACAGTTTCTTACCCATTAAAAATGGCTATTTGCCGCGCCTAGTTCAGGGATTCCTCTCTCTGTTGTCTTCCTGTGCACATGCTTCTAGGTGTTCGAAACATGTTTCTCACAAGCGCCCTTTTCGTGTGAGAGGGACGAGAGGGGAAGTAATGAACCAAGATGTTTTTACTACTTGGCTTTCGATACCATTTCGTAATGTAGCCGTTTTCCGATAGGATAATTTGCACGTTCAGAAATGGAACCCAGTTTTCTTTTGGTTTCTCTTGGGTGAATTTAATATACTCTGACTGTTCACTCAACAACTCGAAACATCAATTTCTTCTTGTGTTGAACAAATAACCAAACAGTCATCTATATATCTACAGTAGAGTAACGGACCGAGGTCGATTACTGGCTCTTCCACCTTAGACATGAATGCAATGGCAAGGCTTGGTGCCAGCCGTTGTCCTATTGCCAGCCCTTTCATTTGTGCGTAATACTTCCCGGACTATCTGAAGACTGAGCAGTTTAGGCACTCCTTTAAAAGTGTCATCAAGTGCTGAATCGAAAAGTCGTATATGTTTACTGCTTCGTGCCGTATAAGGAGCTCGCGGATGGGTTGCATAGCGGAGTCATTCGACACGCTCGTATAGAGGGCAGTGACGTCAAAAGACTCCACCACGTACGCGCTGTTGGGTTGCGCGTTACGTAGACGATCCAGGAACATCTGGTTTTTCGTTAGATGAGCTGGAATGTGCTTCAACAACTAAGTATTAGGGTTATTAACCACGTTATTCTATCCGTTAGCCCGTCCACGCAGCTAATGATAGATCTAACCTTAAATAACGATGGATCGGTTGACACGAGATCATCGCTGGATACTAACCTATGGGTTTTGATAAGTAAGTACAGGACGGGACATGTTGGTAAGTCAATTTTGAGATGAGAGATAACTGATGGTTTTAACCCAGCAGCTCTTACCACTTTAACCCATTCGTTGTTTAACTTTTGGTATTGAATTTTAAATTCCTTCCCAGACGACGGACGATAAAGGGACGCATCTTCAAGGTGCTTTTCCGTTATCTCAACATCAAACTGATGGGAAATTACAACGAACTCTCCATCCTAATCACTAACCGATAGTCAAATGTTTTCCGATCTTATCAGCTCTCGTACCTCCCGCATACCGCGTTTTTGTATATCAGTGAGGTTGGAGCATCTCTTAGCGCGATAGTGATTGAGTACTTTGAAAGTATCATTTGTAAACGTCCGAAATTCAATATCAACTTCATTATTGGGTTCTTGTTGTCCAAAAAACGGTTGAGTAAGGGGTGGTACTGGTATTGCCCTACTTTTTGTTGTTCGCGCCTATTTTGCGCTTCATCCCTAGCTTTTTACGGAATCTATCAAGTTCATGTAAACTACATGCGAGTCTACACAAGGTTACCCTCGAAATGGGTTCAGATGGTGAGAAACACGGTCCCAATTCTAATAACGAGCGCGCACCGTCAGGGAGAGTCATGCCTCCTAGCATGCTTAGTCTTGAATTTCTTTGCACCGGCTCGGATGTCAGTTGTGCTGGTGGGCGTTCGTTTGGCAAAAGGTGTTTTTAACGTCTCATCGATGTATCCAAAATTTAAAAGCAGTATAAAAATACTGCTCGTCGAGGGTATTGCAGCCCACCGTGGTTTTGAGAATGGGATTCGAATTCCTCGCTGAAAATCTGGGAGCTTTTCCGAGAAATCCGAGACCGTTACAATACAGTCATCTTCTTCGCCAGTGCCTACTGGATGACACTAAGATTCTTAATCAATCACCACTACGCTTCACAATGATTTTTTTAAACTACGAGAATAGTACTTTTTTCGAGCATTTACCCGGGGACTTCCATAAGTACCTTGTGGTTAACACTGCTGATGATGAGGTGGAATTGTAATCCCGTGAAGGATTATACCAATCTAATGTCAAACAGATTGCGTGAATTGCACAATCAACAAAATCGGTAAAAAAAGAAAGTTACTTGACATTCCTCCATCGTTTCGATTAAAGCTGCTCCACCAATCTTAGCGATATGTGAAAATAAAATGACCATTTCTATGCCTCCACGCCAACGAACCTCTACTATGGTAGAATTCATTTGCTAGCAGGACACTACTAAAGACGTCTCAAGAGTCACAGAAAGTTTCCGAGAAGAAAAATGAAATCAGTACAAAAGAAACAGAAAAACGCATAATCTTGGAGGAGCAATCAACCAGGAACTGTCTTGCATCCCAGGACTCATCTGGGTGAAGCCATTGTTGCAGTGCTGCATCACTCTACTCGGTTCCACGCGACGCGTCTACGAAGAACCTACATCGCATGAAAGTGAAGCTAGTCACATCGAAACGTTTGTCACAAGAGGAATTTACAAACACCTTTGAAGCAACCCTACTTACAGATCAAGGCATTGATAATCCATGTCGAGGTTAAGCGAAAGTCGGTAATGGAAATAATGACTGTGCGGGACTCATCGAACAAATGCGAAGGTCATGAAATTTCTGTTTTCATAGCTCAAAAATTGTAGTAACTGTGGAGAAGGGTTTCGTGTTCCTGCCGAAATAATGCGAACCGATCGCCTGCATCCAGTTGTCCTCGTTGATAATCGAGGGACTCAAGTGGGCGCCACTGAAGTCTCCATTTCCCTCGTCATTTGGAAGAACAGCCCTTTAGGTTCTGCTTGACCAACAACTCGTTGATCAGTACATTATGTTGTTCAGAAATTAATGCACGATTTTAACACTATTTTTCTCGAATATTTTTGGCATTAATTTTTTGGACGCTCCACAACATAGATAACCCATGGAGAATACAGACTACGTGTGGAATGTTACCACATCATATCGAGACATTACGACTGTAATGTTTGTTGAGCGGGTTAGCCCTGGATGCAACTGTTGTAGGAAGCATCATTGTTTGGAATGTTTCAAGTCTTATCATTAGATGCATGTATAAATTTCAGACTCCAGATTGCAAAATAAAAAGTTCTGAAAACATCGTTCGATAGAATGTTGTCGTAAAAAGGATTACCTGTTTTTAGAGAATAACTGTATTGAAACACCTTGACATACGTAAACTCTGTGGACACTGAGTCACTCTGAAGAAGTTTGCTCAATGATCCACTATGTTGTCATAGCGAATAGATGCCCTGAAGAGTCGAATCTCAAAGTTCAAGTAGATACATTTCTGCGCTCTCCTCCCTGGTAACTGTCTCTGTGGTTCTTATTCTCTTCAAAAGCAATAAGTCCTAGCCGAAAAATTAATATGTCCAGAAAAGGTTCTGTTAAAATGCTCAGTGTAGATAAGAGCTTTTCATGGGGCGCACCCCACACAAAACCTGAGTTAAAGGATGGGAGCTCTCGACGTTGACCAATCCCTGAGCGATTGCGCCATGCATTCGACTTCATCAAGCATCGTTTGAAGTGACTGAATCATGTAAGATCTCTATACAATGGATCACGGTGGCCCACCGATGCAATGTATCGAAGTAGTGCTGGTGTCCTCTCAGATAAGTGTGGTACCAATTTACTGATCCCGGAGGGATGGAAGACTTTGTTAGCTTGGGGCGCTGGGTTCGATCGATACCATGTGTATTCCATAGCGCCTCCGACCACTGTGCTACAAGCTCCCCCCCTCGTACCCCCGTATTATGTGTGATGTAACCTATTAATTGGATACAAACATGTTAAAATTTATCTCACACCAGTGGGAAAATACAACACCTCATTTTTCACACCATGAAAACATCCTTCCATAGTTCATCTATAACGATACATTTCACCATTTTCTATTCATATCGCATTGCGTCAATCCACGCTCTGCGACCAATGAAACCTACGCCATCAGTTTCCTGTAGCCGTTTAATGTGAGTGTAGGATTAAAGAACCTCTCTCTAACTGCAAAGCATACGACAATGAATGAATTTAGACAAGAAAATAGATGAACTCCGCCGACATCTTAAGAATATCCTAGTAACAATTAGAGAAGCAGTTAACAATATCAAGCTAACATAAACTAACGACGTAACAGAGAATGGTACCGTCATCATTACCGAGAGCGTCACCTTCTACGACGTACTTTCCGCGAACCACTGAATTCCTTATTTGGCGGTCGTAGGAGACGTGCTGCTCGTAGTGACTCAGTTTTCGCCGCTTCGTCAACATTACATTGGACAATATCACAACCAAGACCAGTTAACATCTAAACATATTCAGAAAAGTAACACCTATTCACCTCGTCCGATTAAAAAAGTACAAAATGAAATTCAGAGTTGAACGGTCAATGAACAGTTGGACAAACTAATAAGAATACCTTTTCGATGAAACGAGATGATTTCTTTAAGGCAATTTGCCATTGCGTAATAGCCAAAGAACAGTCAGGACCTGCAATGAATCGAGAACGTCGATCCTATGATCTTGACAGAAAAATAGTAGAGTAATAAAGACAGTAAAAAAGTAAGTAAAGTAAAAGTAGTAAAGACCACGTCTTGTGGGAACTTTGTGGAAAGAAAGGAATTGCGTGACAAAGGCCAACACCAAATAGGAAATTACGGCGTCCAGCCTCCCAACAGACGCATCAATACATGCAAACCTTATGAAGAGCCTTAACTTACTTAAAGTAAGAGCAAGTGCCAGCAAATGGGCAGTAAGCTTATCCTTCTCATGTGACGACAATGACAATCGAGTAGCTGTTCGCCCACTTGCGCCTCGATCAAATTGAGTAGCTAGAATTCGAAGTGATTCTCATTGAACAGAAAAACTCTTAGAAAACATAAACTGAAGTAGGAACACTCACTGATATAATCTCTCATTACTTTTTGTACGAATGGTTCAGGGAAAGGAACTTCATCAAGTTGGCGTTTTGCAACAGCTCTATTTGAGAACAACTGAAATACGAAGTATCAGAAGCAACAAAAGAGAAGATGCAAAATTGTAATAACACACAGAAGATAAATATGTCATGCAGCCCAATAGAGTAAATGGAACTGCTAATGAAGGATTTTTGCATGCTGAAGTTGTCAGCATTCGTAGCACTGCCGCTGGAAAACCTAAAAAGTGCTTAAATGTGGGAATGAAGTCAAAAAAGGGAAGAAGCAGCTTTTAAAATCGAGATACTACAATATACAACGAAACAAGGAGAGAAAAAAATGGATGCTGCACTTTTATCTGTTCATTTTATCCCTTTCACTGGGATACGCATGAACAAATTTATGACATTTACTGGTTTTCTTTTGCTCTAAGTCTTCATCTTCGTCTGAGTATGACGTAGAAAGACTAGTTTATTAAGACAATACACTCAGTAATACCGGCAGGGTCTCCCAAGCTGAGAAAGAGTCCGACGTTTCCACCAGGAAGCTTAGCTAGGAGTAAATTAGCACCAGTACCAGGATCCACCACAGTCCTGGGATGAAACCTGGCATGTCGGAAAATCCCCCTCTGATCCACAAAGGCGGCGACTGGCTGTAGTGGTAACAACCTGTGGCAAAGTTTGGCCAGGCCGAACTCGGGATTCCAGTGAACCACAATAGACCAGCAAAACTCCGAAAAAACGGAAATTATGGTGCGGCCCGCACAATCAGTTAAGAAGGGACATCCAAGTATCCAAGCAAGTATATACTTAGTAATACGAAGATAACTTCGAAGAGCTAACTAAATCTAACCAAATTCAGATAATTGTTTCTTTGATGAAGCAAGATACTCGACTGCACAATCGGACAGATCCCGCATTTCCTCATCATTCAAAAATGTGGAAATGGGATATATGTCGCGAGGTAACGCAGCGGGTTGGGCTTGTGGAAGAATTGATGACTGGGCCTAGAAATGCAAATTTAAAGCCTTAGAAGAAGACAGGAAGTTCTTAATCGTACCTTGTCGACCATACTTATTTGCTCCAATTTAATATCTTCTGACTCTGCAAGCACACTTGTAGAAGCGAACGCCGTTTTACGCATTGCATCCAGTGTTTCCTTGATGGTAAAAGAAAAGGATATAATGTAGGAAAAAACAAAGCATGACGGACTTACATTGTTTATTTGCCGGCGAACAGAAGCTTCCTGAATTTTCATCTTCTTTGAAGAACCAAAGTCTACGGTCAAATCCATGCGTTTCTTTATCCAGTCTTCAGTTTTGATATCGTAGGACGCACTATAGTCGACAGGCGCTCGTTTTCTGCATGAACAGAATATACTCTGCAACGACGTTCTCATGAAAAGAAGGGAAAGGACAGGACAAACTTTGTGCCAATGAGTTGAGGTATATCTGAAGAGTGCGTCGCCTCGAAAACGCACAAGCGAACGGGTCGAAAAGTTACTTCGCCAGTTTCACGATTAACAACAGCTACTGCATAGTCATATCCCTCATCTGAGCCTGAAGCTTCTCTACCGATTTCAATCACATTTTCGCAAACCTGAAACATGCTGACCTCTGTGAGAGGCTAATATTATTAAATGGTCCTGAACGCCAACGCAAGGAATATGAAACAACTAAGAATACGAAGGAAAGACGGGAAAAGTAGCGAAAGTACTTACATCTGATCGGACGGTGAAGACCTTCTCATCTTGACGGCCATTTACCGGCTGATGCTCTTGAAAACAGAGTTGTCCTGGTTGTATTACACGGTGATGACTGAATGATGCGACGATGTCATGATCACAACGACCAACTAACGCTTTCCGTTTTATTTTCTCACGTTCTTCTCGGGCACTCTCCATCTCAGTCCTCATTATATGACATGACTGCGTTAATATGTGGATGCACCATATAGCACACACAGAGTCAAGTTATGCAAGAAAGACTTCCGCGTGTAACAGAAACTACAGCACCCTATAGACGTAGCAGTTTGCAAAGAACAAAGTGGAATATTTATTAAATAAGAAGATCCACGAAGAAAAATATCGACAGCTCTAAGCACCAATTTTTAGGAAAATGAGCTCCCATTTGAACACTAGAAGCAGTATGTTGTTGAATTATGACGAACATATTTCCACATTTACTATATCTCAGACACAGTAAAAACAAAATGAATAACTGGCAAAATGCAACTGGTAGATAACATGGAAGTGACAGAATGATATGAAAGAAACACCTTTTTTTACAGCAGCACTTTTTGCATTCGATTCAATTCCTCGCATCCATCCATCCAAGAACGTCTGCGAACTTTGCGAACAAATGAACAATTATTGTGAAGGTATATGGACAATTTGCATTCCTGAAGGTAACTGACTAATATCGATGTTTCCAGCTGATGGACTACCTAAAACAAAACACATAATATTTGACATAGTAAGTAGATTATAAATATAATTGAATCACCAATAGGAATTGGTTGTCCGATAGGTGTTGCATGAAGGACTTGACCATTGTCTAAATGATACACATCGTTATTAGATGCTCCATCTCCTGCCAATACATACTGCACATGAGCAGCGGTTCCTAACGACCCTTCCGATGTAGCACTCAGAGAACTGTTCATCATTTCGTCCTGAAAAGTATTCAACTGGCCACTTTTACTCCAAAGATACGAGGTAAAAGCGACGATCGGATGACAATGTTACAACATATCTCAAATTCTTGATTCCGGTGCTTTTTTCTCAGTATATATATATACATGTACATATATACATAGTGTGATAAAAAGGTTATTGAAGATTAAGAAGAGAAACGAGACAGACATCGACTAAGCGAAACATCAGAAATCTGCTCATACAAAGGTGCACACAATGGTAGCACTAAAATCGCCGTGGATACTAATCTGGTCATAAACCGAACGTGTTTCATAGTTCACGCATGGGCTGGTAAGAGATGCGATGCACGCAAGAGTTCTGGTCCAAGCTCTGCTCCAACGATAAAAACCACCCTTCCGCCCACTTAACAAATTTGTGCAGCTTTGTCTGGAAAAAACTCTCTTCAATTGACCTTCAGAAAGTTGACCGCCTGCTTGTGGTGAAAACATGGAGACGCGAACCACTGTATTTCTGCTCGTTTGGTGTCTTGCAATCACCATTCATGGAAGTGGTCGAATTCATATGTGCGCTACTGCGGCTAATGTTACACCTTCTCTTCTTACTAACATATTAAATCATCTTTGAGTGTGGTTTTCAACAGAACTACATATTGTGTTCAGCAGCATATATAAAGCTTAAAAAGGATAAAAGATAAAGCTCGCGGCGTTGATCAATCCATGAGAGATACGCCATGCATTCGACTTCATTAAGTATCGTTGGAGGTGACTGAATGCATATCTGGCCTTTACAATGACTCGTGGTGCTCTATCGATGTATTGAGCCAGTGCTGCTATCTTTCCTGACAAGTGTGGTACCGATTTGCCAACCCCGGAGGGATGGAAGGCTTGGTGAGCCATGAACGCAGAGACCGATCCTGTGTGTGTGTTTTGCATGGCGCCTCCGACCACTGCGCCACACTCGCCCCTATGTTACTTAGGCTTTTCCTGTCCACAAATTCTATACAATAACTATGATTCATCACAGCGATTAAAATGAAACAATGGTTTATTGTTAGTCAAATTACCGGCCAACGAAGTTGCCCGAAAAAAGGTTTTCTGAAAAATCTTTGGTGCAGGGAATGGCCTTTCCGGTCTCAGCGTACTACTACTTTGAACTGCTATCGATTAGCTATGGAATAAATATACATAGTACGGTAAAGAAAAAAAGTTTTGGAAACCAATGAATTGAAAAAATACACTATAGTGTACATGTCGTTTGTTATGGGTTAAACAAGCTATCTTATGCATACAAGTGTGTGAACAAATGCAAAAACGAAACAAGAAAATTTTATACATATTGAGGAAAGAGGACAAAAAACTTACATGCACTTTCTTAATGTCCTCACGAGGGACGATATCGATCAAAAAATCAAAATGTTCAAATCTACTGGCTGCGGCGGCAATGTCGGACTAAAAAGCCCCCATTTCACTTACATATCATGACGTCATCAAAGCCTTTCCTTCACTTTAAAATGTTAGTAAAATGGTATAATCTTGCGCAACTTAACATGTCAAAAACACAACCTTCTGAAGAGTTTTACGACGACCTTCTTCGACTAATTGCCAAGCCCGTAAAGTAAGCTCTTGAATGAACATTTCTGAAGCAGCAGCCAAAAGCAACGGTGCATCCGAACTTATCATCTAAATATGAAATACGAAATGAAGGCATGATTCGCACATTTACCGCGTTGCCTTGAGAAAAACGCGTATTCAACTCAATTTCGCTGGAGCAAAGTTTTTCTGCTGAGGATTTGTTCTCTAAACCGCTGCGAGAGAGAGAAGTTGTTGCTTTGTGAGTTTACATCCTGTTGGATGACTACGAAACGAGATTTTGCTTCAACTTTAGTTTTTACTAAAGAACATTTCAATATCATCGTGGTAAAGCACTGAAGAAATATTCTGTTCAAATACGTTATACCTGAGATCTAACTTCGTCATCTAGCCGCATGACCTTTTTCACTCTAGCCATAGGAAGCTCCATATGTTTGCAATGTTCACGCATTTCACTCTAGAATACGTATATGTATATGTATATGTATGTATATTATATATATATATGTGTATATGTATATATATATATATATATGAACATGAAATACATCGTATACACCTAATTTATTTTTAAATTTACAAGAACCGAGCCTTCTTCCGCACAGTAGTGCGGATTACAGCACATCGGGAACCCAATTCGCGTTCTAGCATCCATCTTAGAATTTTTCAAGTGTGCGCTGCGGTGTATGCTAAATGTTCCTTTGTGGACTATGAATGCGAGGAAAACGAATCAAATGCAAGTGCTGGGATCTGCACAGCAGATGTGATGACTGCTCACGTAAAATAAAGAAGTGGAATACTTGCATGTGTTGTAAGTTTTATCTTGTGAAATAAACGTAGAAGAAAACGTGATAAATCTGCGTTGGATCCTTGAAAGCACATGCTCAGTGGATACTTATCCACTCTGAAAAAGCTTTCTCGATGATGCTATCAACTTATCACAGCGAAAAGCCTTGCTTAAATGTCGAATTCTAGAGTTAAGGTAGAGGCATTTCTGCGCCTCTGGTCATACTGTTCATTATGGCCGCTCTCCCTAAGAGCAGTAGTCTATCGCCACAATATGTTCTCTTCTAAAAGTGCTTTCTTGTAAATCATTAAGCGTAGAAAACAGATCCTGATAAGCCAGTCCTGATATTAGGTTCACGCCTGACATACCATCGATAAAATATAAAAATTGCGGTGAAAAACTCTGCAAACCACTAAGAAGGCTCGAATGCATTTCGGATCACATGACTAGCGAAGCTTCATAAACTCATCCATTAACATTTTACCTCAGTCATGTGCTCGATTTTCCGCATCTGACTTGGCCAGAAATCTCGAACTGCTTTGTTCACATCGTACAGAGGACCAGATCTCTGCTGGCGACCTTGTACATTTGACGGACTAACGTAGCAAGAAGATCACACAGTATTTTGTTCAGAGATCAACTGTTCCGCATTACTCATAGTTCTGAGCATAGAATTAACGTGACAAACAATGCTCACAAAACAATAAAACCAAATCACAAAGAAGAATTAAACGACAGCGCAACACCTTTTATGACAGACAGCTAGGATAAAAAGGATAGAGGATAAGCTCTCGGCGCTGAGCAATGCTCCAGAGATGCGCCATGCATTCGACTTTACTGAGTATCGCTTGCAGGTGATTGAATGTATATCTGGCCTTTAAAATGAGTCGCGGTGGCCTATCGATGTATCAAGCCAATGCTGCTATCCTACCAGATAATTATGGTACCAATTTGCCGACTCCAGAGGGATGGAAAACTTGGTGGGCCACGGGCCTCCAATGTTTGTGTTACAAGGCGCCACCGACCATCGCGCCTTACGCGCCCCAGAGACAGTTAGGAGTGGATTAAACTGAACTTCTCCTATGTCTCGAATATGGTGGCATGCGAAAGAATGTGCTTTCAGGAAATCACATTATAGATAATCATAAGGTGACTTTACCAGGTGAAGTCGACTGCACCTGCAATCCTATGAGGAAAGTAGCATTCATACATGGTAGGAAGTTATTCAACAGTAACAAGCAACCGATGCATAGAGCCAGTGCTGCTATCCCCTAGACAAGTCTATAAAGGGCGCGTGTGGCGCAGTGGTCGGAGGCGCCCTGCAACAGACAAGCGGAATTGATCCCCGCGCCCACGGCCCACCAAGCCTTCCATCTCTTAGGGGTCGGCAAATTAGTACCAGACTTGTTTGGGAGGGTAACAGCACTGGCTAGACATATCGGTAAGCTTTCGCGAATCATTGTAAAGTCAGATATGAATTCAATCACCTCCAAACGATGCTTAATGAAGTTGAGTGCATGCAGCATCCCTCAGGGATTGATCAAAGCCTAGAGGTTTATCCTTTATCCTTTATTTATCAACTAATATGGAAAGATCTTTCTGGAGAACGCTAAAATCTCAACAACTGTTATTTGGTTTGGTTTCTTTTATGATTATTACGAGTCAACACTGTACCTTACTCTATCCTTTATCGATCAGGGATTGATCAACACCGAGAGCTTTAACAAGTAACAAGAACATCCTTGTTCATTTCCTTTCTTCCCACCCTTCACAAACAAAGAGGGCGATTGTGAGAAACATGTTTCGAACAGCCACCTCTGTGTGCACTACCAGGGAACTAAAGGAAGAATCGCGCGACTTGGCTCGGCAAATAGCCATCTCCAATGGCTACGAAATAGTAACCCCACGAGATAAGTTTACAAGGAGAACGACGCGCCCACGCGAAACACTTGGCCAAAACAAAATCCCGTTTATGTTGCCTTTTATAAGCGATGAAGTAAGCGCAGCTATAAAACGATGCTTAAGAAGGGCAGGTCTAGAGGAATCGGTAGCGATAGTTGAAATACCACCGGCTACTCTACGTCGCCAATTAGTTCGCAACCGCCTGTATGACCGTCTGTGTGAAACAACAAATTGCGTAATTTGCCCTTACGGCAGGGACGGTGATTGCATGAGTTCAGGTACGATATACCTGATCTCGTGTAATAATTGCGGAGATGAATATATTGGCGAAACGGGCAGACCTTTGTTTATCCGTATAAAAGAACACCTAGATGGCAAACGAAAACTAAGACGAAGCACCCCACTAGGCACGCATAGGATACAAAAGCATAGCGGAGACGATTTTGAAGTAAAAGTCCATATCCTTGCACAGGAGTCCAAAACACCAGCGCGAAAACTCCTTGAGGCTTTTTGGATCAATGCCAAAAACCCTACAATGAATAGCAGGGATGAATGCCCGGAGGTCATACGCGACCTGATCCCGTACGTTCGCATCGATTTTGATGTGGGATGGTGCAGTCGTCAACCACATGCGACTATAATCAGCTGTTCTAAACTTCCTCATTGGAAGTCACGAAAAAAGCGGCTCTGAAGAAGGCGATACTGCCGAAACGTCAGCTAGCGTTGTATTGTATTGTGTTTTTATGGAAGTAAATGTATGCTGTTTAAAAACCTCGCGATTGCTGAACAAGAAAACGACACATTCATATTCCAATGCCGAGGTTAAGAGAAAGTCGATCCTGGGAACCGAGAGCTTTGTCTTTTTATCCTTTAACAACTATAGATAAGTTACAGTGTAACAACACTGATGATATAGAAGAACATCTTCTGGGTAAAACCGAAACTATCAGTTCAGCGCCAAAAATCAGTTACTCGCGAAAAATTGACGACTTAGTTATGGCGATTTCATATTTCCATTCTCAGTGTATTTTACAGTCTGAAAATCTTGCTGTTGGAACTTAGTGTAGTCAATTTTTATAATATCGCTGATCAGACACTTGCTTGCAAGACAAAGAAAAGCAGTGCTCTTGCCATCGTGCAACCGGATTCGCTCGGCCACACGCGACAGGAACGAACGGTGATTTTCCGCGCACAAATCGATATCGACTATCAATGAACTAGTATTAACGATTAATCAGAGAACATGTGAAACGTGAAACTTCCAGAATTTAGAGAAGCTGGCAGAACAGCACTGTCCTGAACTTGAACGAGCTCGTAGGAAGCAACAGGGCGCTCAACGCGTTCCATTTCTACGAGATCTTACGTCTTCTGGAATCACGAACGCCACAACTCTTAGACGTAGAAAAATGTGCCGTGTGATAGTGCCGTGAACGGTGATGCTCGGCCTGGAAGAAAAGTGTGCTCTTAGCAGAAAGTGCTAAAGTTTTCTATTTATATAGTTGGTAAGCATTCTTGTAGATCCTGTGGAGTCGTATAGGGTTTCCCAAGCCCACAGCATTTCGGCATTTCTCATCTCACATTCTTCAACCTAGGCTCAGTGAATTGTAAAGGATGCATGCGAATGAATTTAGGCGTTCTCTTGAAGTCTTTTTGAAGATTGTAGGGATCCTACTATTTACAGAGTTGCTTTGATGATGCCGTGCTCCATTAACAAAGTAACACGGTGTTCTCAGAAAGCTTTCATTCGGCTTTTCGTCGTTTCGACGTCTCCGCCGTTGTCATTTGTGGGATGATTCTAGCTGCTTGTCCACAATCGTTCGTCCTTGCTTCAAGCGGATCTTCGTGTTCACATCGAGTCGAATCTAATGGGGTGGAGTCGGAACCAAACTAGGCGAATGGACATTTTTCGAAGCAGCTGTTCTTCGCTTGCCAATGAAAGAATGCACTAATTATTATTTTTTATCTTTTTATTTTATTTCATTTGACCCGTCTTCACGTCTACCGTGCGGATCTCAGCAGTTCTCACATTCGACTGTTTCCTCGCATCCATTGTCTACGAAGATCTTCCAAGTTTTTGCGCGTGGCTTCTGTTGCTGCTTGACGATTTTCATTTCATCTGGAATGTCGTAAAATGCTGGTCGAGCAATTTACACTGGAGTGGTGAGATAATTGGGTTGGGGCATTCCATTTGGATTGCAGTGACTTTTTTCCCGGACAACTCTGGTACCAATTGCCCGACCCCGGAGGAATGAGAAGCTTGGTTGGCTCGGAACGGAATCGAACTAGCACCGTGCTCGTGATGAAGGACATCACTACCACTGTGCTATCCGCCCCCTAAATTCACTGATTACTACACCATATATCATCACAATCATAAATAAAAGTCTTTCATAAATGTATAGTATAAATACAATTAATATAATGTGATTTAAATATGTATAATAAAGTAAAAGCTTTAGAAAACTAGATGATGCTGCTCCTGCATTCATTATTCTCTCTGTCTCTTGTCACCGCAGTGTTTTCTTTTCCGTCCTGAAGAGCTCACGAAGACGAGACATTTCGTCTAAAATAAACCACGACAATCTTCGCTAATACGACGATCTTTACGGCTACTGTTGTTCCGTTAGAAGTTCCAAAATCTTGAGTTTCGTCACTTCTTGAAATTTTGAGTTTTGGGGGATTAAAAATAGAATTTCGAAAAAGTCGAAATGGTGACGAAATCTTCAACGCATTTATTGCCGACGATCAGATGGAGGACACGATGGGAAACATTCGTCATGTTCATGGCTTGCTAGACATTACAATAAGAGATTCGATCCATCTGAAACATAGAATACTTCTAAGCTGCGAATTCCTTGTGCAGATGTCTGAAGGAAACATTGTTACGTGAAATTCATATGTATTATTATTATCATTATTATTATTATTGTTATTATTATTACTATTATTATTAATATTAATATTAATATTATTATTATTATTATTATCATTATTATTATTATTACTGTGAGATTCCATAACCCACATCGCACTCTGGCGATCCCAGGATTTCTTGCATTCGATTCATTTCCTAGCATCCACAATCCACGTCCGTCTTCAAACTCTTCCGTGCTTATTGAGGATTTTCCTTTCTTCATGAACGTGTTTGAACGCTGATCAAGTCCCTATTCTCCCTGAAGCCTTGGGATAGGCGTGCTAGGCAGTTCCCACGTGGATTAGAGGATGTGAGGTGGTCTCAGGCAAATCTGCTGCCATTTACCCGACCCCGCGGGGTGATGGCTTTATGCGCCCGGGTCGAAGTCGTAGCAGGTCCTGGTTAGGTTTGACTGCCTTTGTCGTGAACACTGTCAGTACCATTGAGGTACCCACGCCCTATTCAGTTCATTACATACACATCCGTGCTCTGGTTGTGAATTCGCATCGAGTTTACTTTGTTTGTTTACTCTTTGTATTTCCCGCCAGCTAGCTTTTCTGTCTTTACAGGATACAACAATGACGTCGAACCCAGCACTGCTTCGTGAGGTTCGCCTTTATGAGAATCACAGTGAACGGGAACAGATGGAGAACATGAGCGAACTGTTCGCTGTCCTCAATGCTCTTGAGTGTTTGGAGAAGATGTACAGCAGAGACTACATCTCAAGTGAGGAGTACAAAACCGAGTGCTTCAAACTTCTGGATCAGTACAAAGAATGTTCCACTATAACACTTTTGTGATATTGAGATTATACTCCTTACATGGCATATTTAGGTTGCTATGCGGCTTGTCCATGGCACTGATGTCGAGGCTTTTGCTAGCAAGTATCGTCTACATTGTCCCGCAGCACTAGAACGAATTCACGAGGGTCGTCCGATTACGGTCAAGGATGACAAAGGAAATCTACTTAAAAATATAGCCGTCATTGTCGAGGTAATTAGCATTCGTTGAACTTTCTCAATTGATCACGAAAGCATTTCAAATTCTGAAGCGATTAGGACCCATGTTTCTCCAACATCGTCGTCGAACGTTTTATTTAGTTTAAAACCACTCAAACCTAAAACCTCTCAACGTTGATCAATCCTTGAGGGATATGCCATGAATTCGACTTCATTAAGCATCGTTGGACGTGATTGAATGCTGAATGCATATATGGCCTTTACGATAATTCGCGATGGCCTGCCGATATATAGGGCCAGTGCTGCTGTTCTCCTAGACAGGTCTGGTAGCAATTTGCCGACCCCGGAGGGATGGAAGGCTTGGTGAGTCTTAGGCCCGGGGATCGATCCCGTGTGTATTGCAGGGCACCTCCGACCTCTGCGCTACACACGCCCCCAAAACCACTAATGTGGTAGATATTACAAGATCCTTAAAAATAGATTGCTCCCTTATGTCATAATTTTGATATTATGTACATGATCCAAACTACGAACTTATGCAGGTTAATAGAATAGGCTAGTAGGCCACAGATCGATTTAATGTTTCCCTTCTGTTGCCGATAGCCAATTGTATAGTTAACGAAGAATTATGTCAGTGATCTGTCCTAAGAACTGTCCTCCACACGAAGAAGTAGTAAACTACGTAGTGATTTGAAATTTCGTAGTAGTTTACTCGGATACTTGGATGGCTCGTACTCATTGGCTGTGCGAGCCTCAGCACGACTTCCATTTTTCGGAGTTTTGCCAGTTCAGCTATTGTGGTTCCCTGGAGTTCCGAGGTCAGCCGATCCAAAGTCTGCTCCGGGTTGTCACCATCACAAGCAGAGCAGTCGCCGCCCGTGGGGATCAGAGAAAGATTCCCCACTATGTGACTGGTTTGATAGTAGGACAGTGGTGGATCCTTCTATTCTTATTGGTTCATTTTTTCCTGGGCTTCCTAATGTAAACGGTGGACTCCTTACCTTGAGAGACCCTGCTGGGGGTGCGAATCCCCTCCTCTCAGCCCGACACCCAGGAACACCTCCTAGCTGCGCGAGGCGGTAAGCCGTTAGGAGTTTTATAGCAGTTTCACTACTAATAATTCTATGGAAGCTGAATACTAAAGTTCACTTGTTATTGCACAAGTTTTCTATCAATACGAATCTCCTTAACGTTGCTCATTAAGAACTTTTCTCTCCCTTGAAAGCCTAACAAGGCTTTACGAATGTAAGTTGTTTATGCTTAAGAATCGAAAAGGAATTTGAAGAAAACCTAGAGAACTAGCTAAGTGCTTAAAGGTTTAAGACTTAAAGATCTAAAGGGTTTGGAGAAAATTTAAAGGAAATTTAGAAAGAAGAATCTAGGAAGTGAGGTTTTTGACTAACCGAATTCTTTTTTAATATTCTAGTAACACCTTTAAGTGCATATATTTCTTGAACTCATACTGTTTTTCTCCTTGACACCGTTTTTTGCTGCAGGTATTCATTACATTTTTCGATCAACTCAAGTTGAATGTACGAGCTGTAGATGAACTCTACCCAAATCTGAACGAGCTCTATACTTCAATCAATGCGATGAGCAGTTTACCTGAGGACTTCGACGGACGTGCAAAGGTGAAAGCGTGGTGGGTAAATGAGTATTGGTCAGACTCGAAATGACACTGTCATCTATATCTCCAACCATTTATACCTCCGTTAAAGTCTTCGCGAAAATTCTAATTCTATGGTAATTGTGGTTAAGTTCTCAGTTGAGGACCTGAGGACTTTACAGACTTAAATAGAAGTTCTTTTCCTCTTCTTGAAGGGCACATATGATTCTTATGAAGCGCTTATATTTCAACTATTTTCAGAATTCGGATTATTTAAAAAATTTTATTTTTGAAGCATTTAGTGACGGGGGAACTGCAAACATCAACCACGCGTTCGGAGATACAATCGCATCATAGTGAAAAATTCCATCCGTTCAACCTTTTCACTTCTTGAAAAATGAGAAACGAATGTATACGAAAAGACGAACGGCGTTTTAGAGTGAACTGATTAGTAGGCTGCTAAGGCCAAGAATTCTGGAGTGGCGCTGGCAGGTGTTCGAGCTATCATGACTAATGCTTATACTCAAGGGCAGCTTCTCTGGCTTCCCTGAAGTAGAGGTGAAGTTCATTCGTCGGAGGAGAGCCCGAACGACCTCCTTACACACTATCTAATCTCTTGGTTGTCGGTTTTTATTCGCAATCATACCAACGCTAGCGAGGCAGCACCAAGATTTTCCGTACGTACACATTTGGAGCTTCCCAATCGCACGTTGCTGGTGGTTTGCTTCTAAATCTGAAAATCGTTCCTATCTGCGAGTGTGGGTAGTTGTCGTTAGCCCACGAACACGTAAGTCGTTTGGGTGGTCATCCATGGAGACGCTTGTGTTCCGCTGTAATCCACTCCACTATTCTTTTCGTCCATCTGTTACCTGTTATTCTATATAGTCTAGATTCTTAGCTTGGTTAACACAAAAACTGGACTTGTGTTCGGGCATGAGCCATTGAAACCTTACTGCTCTGAGCCACAATATGTTGATTATGGTTTTATATTCACTTTTTTTCTATCACAGTGGTTATTTTCAGGCATGATCGCCTCTCTACAATGTCTGCATCTGAGGAAATCACAGATGAGGAAGCTAGGCAAATGATCTTCGAATTGGAAGGTGCATACTCATCCTTCATCAAATTCCTACATACTCAGCAGAATTAGCTGTTAACAATTTCTCACCTAAACAAGCATATTAATAAAACCATTTAACACGGTCAAAGAAGAATTTCCACTGTAGATGAGATCTTGTAACTGTAAACCTTAGAACAGAAATACATAGATTTAACCAGGCAACATCATAGTTTCATGAGGGCGTATTTATGTTTCCTGCTAACTCTTGAAACAACTACGCGTCCATCATAGGACAATGAAGCAAATGTCCAAGGGTCGGCTGTAGCCCATACGCATGCATATCTGAAAGTAAGCTTTTGAAATGTGCTAAGGAAATAAGGCAAATAGCACCCAGTTGGTAGGAGGCCTGTAGGAGATCTCAACATTATGATCTGTCGATCTAGACAAATTCATGTGTAGGGGCAATGATGGTCGACGTACATGGATTCTTCATGTTCCTCTATCCTTTCCAGTTGGCCATCTTCGAGTTTCTCAAAGCTCTCCTCTGTGGTTCCATCTAAGTTTAGGTCGTCAATTTCACTGCTTGCCGAGAGCATACATGACAAAACTACAGTAGCATCACTTCCTGCTGATAGAATGAGCTGATCGTGAACTGGATGGAATCGAACCTGCAAGTATGTGATGCAGTAGGTAGAACGTTAATGTAATATAACTCACTTGCCAAGCCCAGTGAGTATGCGGAGTTGCTGTCATTAACGAAACAGAAGGATGGCGCCAGTCCCATAATCGAACTGCTCCTTCATCTCCACATGACGCAACTCTTTACAGAAAAAAGCGTCTAACTTAGCAATTCTCAAATGGATGCCAACAATTTCGAAAACTCACACGTGCTGAAGATTAGGATTGAAGTCCAAATGTAGAACGCGATGCATATGGGCATCCTTAATTCGCATCGATTCTCTAGAACAGATTTGTACACGGAAAACAGTAGTGTGAATTTTTAAACCGATCATTATTTAACCTCGCTAGCAAAATAATCAACATGTGTTTAAATCGTTGGGCTTACACGAGGTTGATAATAAGGTGTATTCGGCTAACACTTTGACGTTTTCGTCTTCATTAGAGCCGATGATCCGAGTCGGCGGTCCACAGATGGTCCACAAAACTCCACATCAAGATGGCGAACGACTGTGGACCATCGACTCGCATCATCGGCTCTAACGAAGACGAAGACATCTAAGCGTTAGCCGAGCAAACCTTATTATCAGCCTCGTGTAAGCTCAACAATTTAAACACAAGTAGTGTAAATGTTAGTAATTATTGATTGGGATGACTACTTGTCCCAAAATGACCAAATGACTGAACATAAATGTTGTCTAACAAATCAGAACATTAGTAGAAGTTTTTAGTTTAGTTTCTCTTTTAGTTTTTTTTTCATTAGTTTTTTCTGCAGTGATGTTGTAATTTACCAAGTTCTTTGACGTTCCCCAATTGTTCTAAATGCTTGAAAATTTCTGAATCTGAAGCATTAACCTCCGAACTTCTGCAAAAGTTTGCGAGATCTGCGATTCTGCTTATGGATTTTATTGTTTTCTTTTCAAATGACAAGATGTATATTCATTTCCAGGAAACTTTAAAATGAGGAGATTTAAAGCACTTTACGAACTGCCCTTTTTCAGCTGACGGGAGGTTGGTATAGATGTTCTTATTGTTATATGTGGTTATATGTTCGTTGTGGTTGTATTTCGCTTAGTACCCTGCCGCGAAATTATAGTAGGCAGAAAATAAAAAGGTATAACATTGTGATTTCAACTACAGCCGCAGCTTAACTGGGTTCTATGCCGATTTGGGCGCCCCGGATCAATCCTGCTAACGGGTGATTGCTGTGGCAAAGCGATAGAAAAAGCTGAGAGATAGGCGAAACAAAGGACCCGCATGGTGTGGTGGTGAACGCGTTACTCCCCGGAAAGAACAATAGCGCGTTCGTTCCCCACCATAGACACCTGCGGTCCAGAGTTTTGCAAATGTTCTTATTGTTGTTGTTGTCCACTAGGGATAAACATTCTCTTCGATCATCCCTCATGAACAGGACACGGGTGGTCCAACGTCAAGGCTCTGAAGAAGGTGAAGTCGCCGAAACATAAGCCATTGAACAAAGACAACTACAACAATAAGAACATCTATACCAACCCCTGTCGCCTAAAAAAAGGGCAGTTCTATACAGATATGTTTATTATTATGCTGAGGTTTATAGAAAGTCGATCTTTTAAGTTATTAAAAACACTTTCTTCTTCTAGTGCACCTCTTTCAGCAACATAAATGGGAAAAACATCTTTATAATCTGCACATTTGAATGACAACTTGTGTTCCGAACTGCTATACCGTACCCACCCTTCTGCTCGTAGATCATGGCAGATGATATCCTTATCCGTTGTCAAACCTATCAGATTTCCAGAGCTATGAGGATTCCAGGCTTGTGCATATGTCTTACAGCTCAAGATTCTGTTTTGGCTTACCTAGAATATATAAATGAAAAACTCGAAAAGTTTTGAGCCGTTAAATTGTGTGGTAGTAATATCTCCGTGTGTTAGGAAGATTTAAATTTTATTTCAACTTACTAGGATACATCGGGATATATCACGTTGTACAACAAGCAAATCCTCACTTTTAACCCTTCATCACAGTGAAAAATGAGTACCGAAGACTGGAAAAGACAAGAGGCATGTCCACTTTGTTGATCCCATTCGTAGCTACAAAGAATAGTATTGAGTCTAACAGTAGTTTTTCTCTTGAGAATTATATGAATACCTTAAAGGGCACTGCTCAACAGATACAAAGTCCTTCTCTTCCATTACACCTTTAGTGCTATCCAATTCCCATAGGTACGCACCATAAGTTGCAGACGAGCCGTGAACTATAACTACGGTTTGTCTCAACTTTTATTTACTGCCTATTCTTCTTTTGTCACGGCAGTCTTATGTGAAAACCCTCTATTTCCACTACTGGATGCCTACATGCTATCCACCACAGCAACGGAAGTCCTCGTTTTGCTTTTTCTGAGTAGCTTTTTACCCTTACGATGCTGTCAGAAACCTTCTTTCAACGAGAATGACCTGGTATTGAACCCAGTTAAGTTCAAGCTGTAGCCGGAATTACAATGTTTTAGCCTTTATTCACTGCCTATTTTCTCTTCAGTGGCAGGGTATGATCTGAAAAACAACTAATTCCAACTTATAACAACCAAGCCAGTTAACTTGCTGAGAGGAAGGCAAAAAAGCAAGCGCCTCGATTGGTGCAGTGGATAACACGTGAGTCCTCAGAAGAGATAATCGCGGTTTCAACCTCGACGAGGACCTGAGGTTCCAAGATTTGCTCATATTTGAGCATCTTTGTGGTTACAAATATGGTTATTTAGTCGTGAAACCTATTCTGATTCTTCAAATTCACCGTGTGATCTGAACTACTCATTTGAAACAGTTTAGCAAATCTAACTATGATGGAGCTAATCGAAGCACATTAGACAAATGGTGCGTGAAAAACACTAGCAATTATCGAAGACATGCCGTCGTAACAATAACTCCGCAATGCAAAAATGAAATTGAACCGATGCAAATGTTGAGAACCACCCCAGAAGAAATACAAGCAGCTATGTGCTTAGTCCTAAGCGAACAATAGGAAATTTAAGGAAAAGATGATGTTCAACTTCATAAAATAAAGAGAATCCGACAAAAGGCCACCATCTCGCTAAAGTTGTTTGCTGCCGCATTATAGTGGATAATGAAGTCGTTCAAATCTCTCATATACTTTCAGGGTTTATTGAATACGGCAGACAACACGACAGAGGAATTAGACGAAAAAGGAACAGCATCGGCAGCATTCAAGGTTCTCAAAAAATCTACTGATCAGTTGAGGAACGCCAAAATTGGCGCTGGCCTTTTTAATCCGACGGCCCTATCAACGCTATGCACAGAGACGTAGGCTGATGGAAAGGAAATGCAGGATGAAATCCGAAGAGATATTATTAACGACTTCCAGGAGAACCAGCGAGATGATAAGGCGAAGGGAGCGAGATGATTATAGCAAAAATCAATCAGCTGTATTCAAAGCAACGAAAGTTTTCAGCTGGCGGAATGGTACTCGTATGCACTACTATGCTCGAAAAAACCACCAGCATGGAGGACACTTGCAAAGCAAAGAAACGAATAGAAAACATATTGGTGGGGACTGAACTACTTTTAAAGACGGGCCATCTATGTATTCCCCATGTAATTAAGTAATAGTAGCACATATACCGTGCATCAACAATGATAGAGCAAAGTCTTCTACAAGTCGGGTAAAAGTCATACTTTATAAGAATGGCTGCCGTTACAAAATCCGTGTTGGATAAGTCAATAACTGATTACAAATGTATTAAAAGAAATTGCACACGCCAAAAAAAAACCGTAAATAATAACTTCTATGGAAGTCGCACAGGTCGCTATGCTCCGGCTTACAACTTCTAAAAAGGTCACATCGTCGCATAAATGATGAGCATCGATAACATCGACACCAGTCATGTTTAGAACAGTTTAACATAAGCACTTGTTACCAACAACCACTTATTCTACTTTTCAGCAGAAGCACCCATTACCGGGAAGAAAACATTCCAATTTAGGAACAATTAATTGTTCTTGGTAAGAACACCGTTAGCAAAGAATGGGTTGTAAGTCAGTATGCTTGGAAAATAAAAGGCGTTGTAAGTTAGTATGCTTGGAAAATAAAAGCACGGAGATCGGAAAACACTCACAGTTGGCCACAGCCGATGCAACAATATTTGCATTGATGGGCGATGCAGCAAGACCTCGAACCTCACCGACAGGATGTGGGAACGACAGAGACGAAATACGTGAATATTCTGCGTCGAGAGATAAACGACAAATCTGGCACAAAATTCTGTTCAACTTAGTTTTTCCAACTGGACAAGCTTCAGCTCTCACACCTGGTTGTCCATTTTTATATTATGCGTTCCCACTAGCAATTGTACCGTTTCTTCTTCAGCTACAACGTTTGCTAAGTAACGGGATTCTAGGTCAAGTCCAAACATCAAACATTCTCTCATCTAGAAGCACCAATAGTGGAGAAATGAATTTGAAAATATCGGTGCCTGGTGTTCTAATCGATGTAACGAAACTGCTCGGAGGTCAGGAATGAGGTTGTAACCTATCCGCAGATATCAAGTGAAAGGTAGAAAACGTTTTATCCAGATAAATCTAGAAAATGAAATAACCGTTGCTAAGAAGACAACAGGTAATTACAACTACTACAAAACTACATAACCGTTCTAGAACACGACGTTATTAGCTTTTTGATGACAAGGCAAAACAGTTGAGATGAAATTGTTCATATATTCGCTCTAAATATAGCTCAGTTTCTATATGAGATCCTTTTGAGCAGTACATTAATGGCACTGATATTGTTGACTTCACACAATGATATTGCTTATACCTCAAATATGCCCGCTGAAATGAATTACTAAAAATGGACATGTGGAAGTAATGGGAAGGAAGTATAACATAATATTTCCCAATAAAAATTAAAGAAAATGATTTTGATGCTTAACAAGTACCACTCTCACTTTGACATCCTTACTGGATGCCACTTATGATTCATTTTGGGAGCCATAAAAAAAGGATGAATGGTCTACATAGGGAGGCAGACTACTAATAAGCAGAAATAGCTAGCTTACAACGGAAGAAAGTACGAATTGTACATAACTCCAATCAGCGAAAGAACGACATTTGTGAATGTGACAAAGGTTAGTGAAAGTGACCAGAAAGCACGACAGACTGTAGGGTCGAAAATCGACGCCAATCCAGCAGCTGTGGTGATTCGGGAAGAACATTCTTTCGGACTACCTAGCCATGAAAGTTGGCCTGAAAAAGATGATTAAATGTGCAAAATGCATTCAAGAGATGAAGGAAAAATCAATAAATCTTGCGATTTTCTTCGTATTTTTGTTGAGCAAACGCGAGGTGTTACTATTCTTTGTTCACGATTAAGCAGACGTTTCGGCGAATTTCGCCTTCTTCAGAGCCGCTTTCTATGAGGTTTCCACTAAGTATACTAAGTAACGTCAGCTTAATCGTGAACAAAGAATAGTAACACTTCGCGTTTGCTCAACAAAAATACGAAGAAAATTACTTGATCAATGCCGAGGTTAATAGAAAGTCGGTCGTGGCAATAAATCTTGCGTTTGCCTTTGAATTCTTAAGACCCATTCTGGACCCAAACACTTTCAAGCAAATATGCAGTTTCCCTTCCGCCGATATTGACTGATCTGTTGTTTGAAATGCTGAGATATTTGCAAAACTCCGGACCACAGGTGTATGCAGTGGAGAACGTGTTCGTTCTCCACTGCATACACCTGCCATTAAGAAGAAAAAAAGGCAGTAAATAAAAGAGTTAAGATTGTGACCTGTTGTTTTCAGCAGCAAAGCAAAAACAGATGATAATAGTACAGGAGAAAAGTACTGAAGAATAGCGGCACAAAAGTATGAGTAATACCGAAAAATCTGAAAAAGAAGAGAAACTATGAAACAAGAAATAAAAACGGGCACAGAAACTGGTACACCGGTACACCTACTATGGCTCGAAGTGCGACATTCCTAATATAGCCATTTTCTCGTTGTAATGTATTCAACTTGGCATCTGATAAATTCAAATGAGCCTGGAATACATGTAACTAAGAAAACGTAACAAACAAAAAAAAAAAAGAAAAGAAACAGATGAGGGACAAAACAAAGGATTACGCACCTGAAGATGAGGTTTTCTGAAGATCAAACGAAAAATCAGTGATGATAAAGCTAAATAAATGCGCAAAATATCAAATTGTTCTTCGGTAAAACTAAACTAGAGTGTAGAATTACACACGATACAATACAATTAAATACAGATGAACCAGTTATTCACAATTTTTTAGGCCCAAGAACAAGCTCTTTCTTAAGAGGAGTGGTAAATGACAACAGTGACAAGAATGGTAGCAGAAATGTCAGATGTAATGCCAGCCTGGAAGATGTAAGTAATATGGTACAGTCGAAACAGAATTAGAAAGAAAAAAAAAGTAAATATACCTAGTAAGTTTAGAGGCACCTCCTTGAGCATTCCAATACATATTAGCATAACGAAAATTTGGAAAAACTAGCATTGCCGCAATGAAGGAGAACAGAAGGGATATGGATACGTACCTTAATGGCATAAGTGATAAGGACCATAAAAACTTTCCGCACTATTGGAGAACAAACTTAGTGGAATTATGTTCATGATACACTGCTATCGTAATCGGAGGTTAATTTCAACATTCTGTGTAGAACTCAGAACTTGCAACCCAAACAAAAGCAAACTAACATCAAAGAACGGGTAGGATTGGGGGGGAAGGTAACGCACTGGTTAGTAATGGAGTCCCATCAGAATGAAAATTCCGGTTCGACGTCTCCCCAACGCTCTCCTACAATCAACGTGAGAACAGCTTAGTCCTGGCTGGAAGATTTGGAAAAATAGCATTGACTGCATCTCGAAGATTGCAAGGAGAATAGACTCGACCACCATTCTTCAATATTCATAGGGAAGACGAAATCCTCAAGTCTAGGCCGAAGGAACACGCGAAATGTTCGGATACAACTGTGGGATGATGAGTGCGAGGAAAACGAATAGAATGCAATCGTTGAGATCAGCACAGCAAATGTAAGTAATGTAAAATAAAAAACACTAACGGGAACTCAAATTAGACAAAAGAATGAAGCTATGAAAGAATACCACCAAACTTTCTGAATTTATAGCAGCTTTGGAAGCATTTTATGTAAGGCTTCGAGATCAACACTTAAAGACATTCATTGTAATTCCTACAGGAAAAATAAGAAACCGAGAAATCTTACAAAAGAATGGGATCCCTGGCCGTAGTGTACTTATAAACAGACAACCCGTTTTCTGCCATAAGTGACTCTATATTTGAACAAAATTGATGATAACCTGAAATTTGCTAGTATGTTCAAATTCACGGACATTTCTACAAATAGATAAAATCATTTAAATAGTAATGATAAACTGGAAGATACCAGTAAGTAGATGGATGTCGAAGAATCGGTCTGCTTGTGTAGTAAAAATGAACGCAATAAGGAAGAAAGTCGCAGCAAACACAAGAAGTACATTGCGTTCATCCTCGTTTACCATTAACCAAGATGTAAGGCGAACAAGAACCTGAACAAGGACTCCTCTAGAGCTTTGAAGACTGAAGAAGCATACGACGTGGCCCTAGAATTCAGAATTGAACTGTATAAAAAAAAACAAACCTGTAAAGTGAAACCAATTGCTATAAGTAGCCATAAGATAGAGACGTTTACGTCGACGTTACTAGGATACAGGAACAGAAATGCTTCACTAAGAAAATAAACCTGGAATTGATATTCACTTTCAATGACCAACGACAGAATCTAATGTTAGTAAAAAAAAAATAATTTTCAAACCGACCGTCATTTAACCCCGGTAATAAATAGTCTTGTTTGAATTCACAATGTTTACTTTTTATTTTCTGCCTCCTATAATTCTTATGGTATTAAGCGAAATACAATCACAAGATTTCTGAAATAATTGCGAAACTCTGGATCGCAGGTGTCTGCGGTGGGGAACGAACGCGCTATGGTCCTTTCTGGGGAGTAACGCGTTAACCACCACATCATGCGAGTCTTTCGTTTGGTCTGTAAATATCTCAGCAGTACTGCTTGAATTTTGAGCTAAAACGAAGCTGATAACATTGTTTTATTCGGTTAATGTTTCGACGTCTTCGTCTTTGTCAGGGCCGGATTGACTGGAGTCGATGGTCAAAAGTTGTTCGCCTTCATCGGCTCTGATGAAGACGAAGATGTCAGAAAGTTAGCCGAATAAAACAATTTTGCCAACCTGATGTGAGCTCAACGATTTAAATAAGTTAGTAGAAACTGCATGAAATTAGCACTACTTAAGAGTAGGAAGATATATTTTGGATCCAACAAACTAAAGATACCAACAATGAGGCAGAATGGTATAAACAGCGATATCCAGTGAAGTGAGGAATACAAAGGAAAGTTTCGTAACTCTTCTTCGTCAACTCTTTTCACTCTCAATCGAAGAGGAAGCGATTTAGGTACATTAAAGCCATCAGCATCTTCATCTTCTCTACAAAAGCAGAATATTTAGCGGCTAATGAGGAAGAAATCGGACAGAACTAATCATTGTTAAATGAACTTTAGACATCTGACGATGGACGTAAAAAAAGCCACTAACCGTTTTTTCCTACGTGTTCTTGGATTCTCTCTGGTAGAAGAAGGCATTAGGGCACGAATGTCATCGTTAGACGGTGCGATAAAACGAAATAACCTGAAATCTGTAAACGATGAAATAAAGGCGGGAAGGGTAATAGAAAATGAAGGAAAATAAAGAAGGAAGGAAAACCTACCCATTCACTATGAACATTTGTATTACTGATGATCGAGAACCTAACTTACTCATTACGGTAAATGCAACCAAAGATACAATAATATGAAATCCAAGTATAGCCTAAAATATTGCGCTAACAAGAAATCCCGAACGAAAAGGCTAAATTTGAAAGATACCATAATGAAGGAATCCTAAACACTACGACCTTGAAAGGATGGTAGACCCTGAATTTTAATGTGGTAAACCATAAACTAACCCACAACTTATGTACACGTACATAAAGGATGAGAAAAACCTCCACAGCTTCAAACGTAGTGTATAGCACAATTTTTATTAAAGTACCACTATGTAGGGTCTGTAATCAACAAAATAATCAATAGAATCTATTTCCTCGGTAATATATAACTGGAAAAAGGTATATCACATAAATCCGTACACCTGCAGATGAAATCATATGGATAACAACGGGAAAATGACTGGGGTATCTCGACTTCCGACGCGAAGGTAAACTGGTTAAAGATAGAAAGTGAAGCAACGGAACGAACTTCGAGGCTCGTTAATATACAGAACAAAAACACAACGCCCACCATAAAACCAGTTCACCAATAAGTGAATGATCACCACCAATTCATGACCAGCATGAACTGAAGTGGCTTAGAATTCATGCGTATCATCAGTTCTACGGATAAGAAATATAAAATAACAAGCAATATAGAAGATACTAAAATATTATCAAGAATTTGAACAAAATAAAAAACAAACTCCAGTCCTAAATAGGGAAGGTGGGAGGTCAAAAATATACTCATACGTACGGGCGGGTACATACCAGTTCCTCCCATACCTAAGTAGAGCTACAGTACCTAGAGTAAGAGCGAAAACCAAATCAGAACACTACATTTTTCACTCTACACTTCAGTTTTAATGACCATTAATCCCATGCGAGCAATTATTCCTCTGCACTGGCGAAACATTTTTAGCCAATAAAAACTGGCGAAGCAACATAGCCAGAAGGGATCGCAATGGTTGACCTTCAGCAGTTTCGACTAGTTCACACAAATGAATTGGAAACTCAGAGCCCAGCGAAGGAAGCAAATGTGCAGGTAAACAAAGGCATTCCTGGAGCAACTCGCAGACCACGGGAGCATATGCAGTACGACGAGCATCGGAACCAGCTTCACCATATCCACGCAGTACCGCCGATACTACTCTGAAATGTGTCTATTCTTCGAAATTCTTTTATTGTTCTAAATATTCTTAGTCGCTAATTTATTACCACATACTGACTATCAGTCTTCACATGCCAATAGGCTAAACATATTTTTCTCATTCCCCCAGTTTTACCGTGACTGCCGAACACGGATCCGGGCGACCTTTAAAGTGCAACAATACTTGAACGTGATACTTCAATGGCCCGTCATCACTGATTGTACGGTTCCCAGCAAAATCTCCATTTCCTATAGATTTGTTGGTTAAGCCATTATGGTTTCCTAAAGTCCCGACATAAGCCTGGCCGAAGTCTGCCCCAGGTCTTCACCACCACAGACAGCCGCAGTCCTTGTGGATCAGAGGGAAATTTGCCACCATGTGACTTTGATACCAGGAGGGTAGTGGGTCCTGGTATTAGTTTACTCTTAGCTAGGCTTCCTGATGGAAACTCCGGACTCCATCTCAGCTTGGGAGACCCTGCCAGGATATGAATCCCCCGCTGAACATCGCAGTCCGACACCCAGGAACACCTCCCAGCCACGATGAGGCCGGAAACCGTTGGGAAGAGCGCAACAATAAACCCTGAACAAAACGCTATGCATACACACCGACCTATCTGATAAGTGATGAGTCAACTGTGCCTTTTTTATAATGCGCACAAATTTCAGTCATCCATATCACTAGTTTTGTCATTCTACATCTAAATGGATATGATAAAAAGCTCTCGGTATCTATCTATAACTGAGGAAACGGCATGCACTCGACTTCTTTACGCATCGTTGAAGGCGATTGAATGCATATCTGGCCTTCACAATGACTCGCGGCGGCCTACCGATGTTCGTGTCAGTGCTGTTATCTTCCCAGACAAGTTTGGTGCCAATTTGCGACCACCGATAATGGAAGGCTTGGTGAGCTTTGAGCGTGGGGATATATCTCATGTGGACTGCAGGGCGCCTCCAACCACTGCGCTACACGCGTCCTGCTCTGAGGCTAAGGTTCGTGTGAATTTTTTTTTTCAAAACATGTGAATTTTACGTTTATAATCCACGATGTTAACTGTCTATTTGTCGATTCTCTCACTCGTCGACTTGAGTGTTTGTGTGCAGCTTTTCAGCAGATTCTACATCTGAGATTGTTTACTGCTTATCAGGCTATGTGATTTCCCACATTCACCACAGCTGAGTAACAACGCTCTCAAACTCAACTGAAAGAGAAACGCAACCTCAAAATGTGAATCCATTACCATCACGCGACTGAAAGTCAGCAGTTATAACAGGATGAATCAGTGCAGTCACATGTTAGCTGGGTTTCCACGAGAAAACAAAAGCTCTCAATATGAGGAAGACCTTTCTTCAGCTATGCAATACGCAAAGTAAGCTTTCGATAATCATTAAGAAGTGATATTTCTTCGAATAAAGAAAGGGGTACAACAAAGTAAAAAGTAATAAAGCTAAAAACTTACGATAGAACACCCTTGGTAACTTGTTCCCAGACACCTTCTGAACGAGGATCATTCAAAAGCCTTAAAAGTATTGCCAGCATAGCACGCAAAGCATGAGTTTCTTGCCTAAAAAGTCGAAAATAAAAGAGTTCGAAGCCTCGGACGAATCTAAGTATCCCGTGTTTCAATAAAATCATCTTTATTTTAAATCAAAATTCATAAAGAAAACCATAAAAATGAATGACAACAGACCATCGAAGAAAGCCTACTGCTCCAAACAAATACATAAATTTTTAAAACAATGCCTTTATTCTAATTCCCATTTGAAATTGATTAAAAAAAACTTTATTTGGCTAAAGTTTCCCCGTTTTCACCTTCTTTAAGGTAGGGTTGGTTTGAGTCGATTATCAACAGCCGTTCGTCCTCAATCCGACTCTGAAGGAAGCGAAGGCGCCGAAACATTAGCCGAATAGTGTTTTTTTTAAAATAAGCCTCGTGTTGGCTTATCAATGAAAATAACTGCATAATGTTGTTACATCGAGGTTAATTAAAAATCAGTTTTTGAAACAAAATTCGAAAAATTCTAACGCAAGTGTGGCAACCGATGGCATTGGTTACGCAGTCGAGGGTACTATCGCATTCTAGTGAATGAAATCCCACGTGTTCAACCGCTCTCCTGCTCGAGATAAAAGCCCCAAAGGAGAAAAACGGAAAAATGGTTCGTGAATTGCGAGAAATTATAGTTTTGCCTTGACAAGCCAGGTAATTTGATTGCTCTTCTTGGATTCCTACACATTGATTCAAAAATATAATCCAAATATTCAGGCTCCAAAAAAGAAATAGGAACTAACGTCTAGTTCGAAGGAAAAGGTTTGTACAAACTTATGCTTGATAACAAATAAAAGTGCAGTGCACTTATTACCTAATCAGGTTAGGCTTGCTAGAGCCACGAAGACCTGCCTTCCACAATAAGGTCCTTTGGCCATTGTTATCGTTGAACTGCTTTGCTAGTCGCTGACTTTCCCCTAACGCGTCACAGAGACTGAAGCAAACAAGTAGAATTAAGTCAGCGAGAAAAATGAAGGGAAGACAGAATACAATTCCGTGAATTCTTCACCTAAGCAAAAGGATTGGGTCCATAGTATTGAACAGACCATTATGGATAGATTCACTGTCATCAAAACCATTAATATATTTACCTTTTGAGGATGGAAAGCTAAGAACAACTTCTTCTGAAATAAAAGTTTTAGGGATTGCAAGTGTTCAGAATGACAATACAAACTTACCTGAACTTCTTTTTGTCCCAAGAACAGTTGAGGTTACTGCATCCACTAATTCTGACTGAACTACACAGAAAACTATTTGTTCAGAGAAGGCAGCATCAGGATGGATAGAACTGAAAAAGCTGGGAATGGAAAAAAAAAAAACAGGAAATTGATCTCGCTCCGAGACAACTAACCCATTTGGTCGCCCGTCAAAGCTCGACACACTATCGTCGAATTCTGGACTAAGATTTCCATGTGCGCTTTGTGCATTGGATAGATGACGATCAGGTTTCCACGTAAGTAATCTGCAACAGAAACCGACTTTTTTGTTCGGTCGACTCATTAAGGAAAAAAGCACTATACCCACGATTTCGGTAGTGTGGCAGCAAAAAGACGCCGAAATAGCTGAACAGTCCTCTCCCACATATCATTATTAAATCGTCCACCATTCAATAGGATTAGTGTTTCCAAACAGTTAACCGTGGAACGAGCCAATTGTTCATTCTCTAAACTCTCCCATAATAAAAAAAAAACTGTCTATAGATCATCCACAATGATGCTGAGATATTTGAGAAACTCTGGAGCGCATGACTCTACGGTGGGGATCGAACACGCTATTACCGCTTCCAGGGGCTAATGCGTTCACCACCACAGCATGCGCGTCCTTCGTTTCGCTTTTATCAGCTAGCTTTTTATCTCTAGATCAATTCTTCATGACAGACGATGTGAAATGGTTTGAGTGAAAAAAAACAAGAAAGTAAACAACAACATACTTTGTTGTATACAAATAGTAAACTGCTCATAAATGGATGGTAAGACAAGTTCACTTAGTTGTGGATAGTACTGGGTGAAGACATCAACAATGGCATACATCGCATGATTACATGTTGTCATCATCCATTCTTTTTTCTGAACTACAGGCGATAAGATCGCAGAAGATTCAAAAACTTCTCAGCTCGTCTCACATCTCCATGATTCTCGTCCAGCTTTGCGTGATCGAATATCCGGAAGACAATATTGAAGAGATCTCGCCACCACTCTGGACGGAATTCGTTGCCATAGTTTTTCATTATCTCAAACATTACTGTCAAGCTTCGTGTTCGGACATCCAGCTTGCAACGATTGATAATGCAACTAAAAACCATTTGTTTTTGAATAGGCACTCAAACACTACTGCATTGGAAACAAAAAGTCGACAACAACAAGGTTCCTACTTCTAACGAGAAAAACATAAGATCTAAAAATGGTCAATCACGAAGACCAAAACAGTACCTAAGTTCAAAGAAAATTGGGAACCAGCCACGAAGCCATATCCGTTGGTCGCCAGACACATTCCAAGACTCTTCCCAAGGAGAATCGATTATTTTTTCTTGATTCACTGATACATATCTAAATACATTTGGAATGACATGGCCAGGTACAAGAAGCTGAAGAACGACTGTGACAAGTTTGCAAGTGCGTACTCTGCACATGATCGAATCAGCCGTATTGCTTCCATGTTCATATCTGGGTGATTCGTATTGCATGCGAATTCCGCTAGACATTTCAACGCATCCTGCAAAAATATCATCAAAATTCCAACTTATTTACTTACTTGGATACATGGACAGCCCGTCCTCAATGGCTTCACGGGCCCCAGCATAATTTCCAGCCTGCGGAGATTTGCTGGTTTTGCCATTGCGGTTCCCTGACTCCCAAGGACAGTTTGGCCAAAGTCTGCCCCAGGTCATCACCACCACAACCAGTCGGAGCCCTTGTGGATCAGAGGGAGATCTGCTACCATGCGAGTAGTCTGATACCAGGACGGTGGCGGATCCTAGTAATGGTTTATTCTTAGCTAGGCTTCCTGTTGGAAACACCAGACTCCTTCTCAGCTTTGGACACACTGTCGCGTGGATGAATCACCCGCTGTGCATCACAACCCGACACCCAGGAATACCTCCCAGCCACGATGAGGCGATAAACCGTTTGGAGGCAAAATTATTATTATCGACAAAAACTCGGAAAACAGAATGCATGCCTGGAATGCATCCAGCACAGAGGCGAAATCTTCTTTGAATTGGCAGAGTATTACCTTGGAACTTGCCAAAAATGCAGCTTCAACTATGTCCTTCTGTACATCACCTGGAACTCACATCATGCAAGACAACGAAAGAACACCATGACTACAACTCAACTTTACCCTTACGAATAAAACAACAAACCAGCAGCCAATGTCCACACCGAAAACAAATTCTGCCAGCCCGATTTTATTCTAGGAGCGTGAGCTTCTACCAAATTTGAGCAACAAGCAACCACCAACTCACGCGTTGGTGCAGAACGATTTTTAGCCATGATTACCTTGAATGAAGTTAAGAAAAAATCACAAAATCAGCTCCTAAAAAGACGCTCAAAAGAAAGTTTACCTCAAACGGTCGAAGAAAGTCTTTTTGAAAACGGAAATTCGGTAACTCTCCTCTTTCTAAAAACTTGATAGCCAACTGCCTCAGAGCATCAACTGAATAATGGGCAACGATTTCACTGGCATTGCAACCTGAAATTGTTACTAAATGTCTTCAGCGTAAGCCAAAATTTGGTTAGATAGAGGCCGTCTATACAAACCTGCCATGTTGAAATGCTCACCAACCACTTCCCAGACTCGTCGCCATTCTAAGCGGATTCGGCCCATATTGTAAAACGCTACCTACTACTTAAGCAATTATCTTAGCACCATATGACCATATTTACTACTTTTAAAATGTGTTTGACGGAGGAAAACTTCCACATACAATCTTTTTAATGGAAAATTAGAGCTACATACATTCTTTCACGATCACCTTAAACAAAAAATTAATGGAAAGTCACTCTTTAAGAAATGAAATCAACAAAAGTACAGCATAATGTGACCACACCTCTACTAGTTTGCCAAGCAGAAACATCCGAGGCGCAGCAGGTTGATTCAACTCTTCTTTAGATACAATACATAAAGCACGAACAAAACAGACGATTGCATCACTAGTAAGACGACAAGAGCCTTGGAAAATCCTTAAAAGTTTTAATTTAGGCCGAACATCTCCAAACAACTACTGAGTATATTTGCGAACAAGCACATCGATTTCGAAACACACGTGACCGGAAATATTTCAACTCTTTAGATTAAAAAACGCATTCGGGCCCATAGTGAGGTCCACTGATTGAAATGAAAGGACTCTAGATTTTTAATAAAACGGAACTTCACTTTTTTGGTAATTATGAAAAGTTTTTCTCTCATCTAAATAAAACAAGGAGGTTTTTGGACTTCAGAATATCGAAAATGAAACTCTATAGAAATTCCACTTTGCTGGAAAAAAATGGGACTACAAATCATTCGGTCTAAAACAATGAAGCTTACTATAAGCAGAGCTATGCTTGCTTAACAGCTACAAGTTAAATTACTTCCTATTATACATGAATAATACGACTTATACCGGTGAGCGTCTTGCGCAGTGGTTGAAGGCTCCCTGTAATACACATGGGATCGATCTCCGCGCCCATGGCACAGTAACCCTCCGGCGTCGGCAAATTGGCACCAGACTTGTCTGGGAGGATAGAAGCACTGTCTCGAAACATCGGCAGGCTACACCGAGTGATTGTAAAGGCCAGATATGCATTCAATCATCTCCAAACGATGCTTAATGAAGTCGAATGTATGGCCGAATCATTAAGGGATTGATCAACCCTGAGAGCTTTATCCTATTTTACGAATCATATCGCTGATAATATGTCAAAACAGCAACGAAGGAAGGACATCAAAAAGATCAAAGTCTGGTCACAGCGCAACAAATCGAATTATATCGCTAAACGAGTGAGAACTCGCCGATCGACTGCGACAACGACTGCCTGTGAACTTGTCTCACCGAGAGCGCCTTGAAGTGTGACCAATGTGCGCTCATCTAGAGCTCCTGTGCTTTTCATAACATCTGGAATAACATTAGCATTAACGATTGTGGAACTGAACAAATTTTACGTCACTGGAACGTAAATAAACTGCCCAACATCAACCAATCTTTACCACTAGACTAGCGAACCACGCACACATCAATTGTTTTGGAAGGCTTAAAGTTGTGAAGATGAGAAATTACTCTTACATTGCCGGCTACTTTCCTTGTCTTCCTTTGTGCTACCACCCAACCCTGTTCCAATCAGTTGTGCAAGTTCAAGTTGACTAACACAGCGGATTACATCGAGCCAGTTATGTTCAAGGTAGTCACCATCTTCGTCACCTAGAATAGTGACTAGAAAATTGAAGGAACTATTAAGTGGGGAAGAAACGGACTAACCTATGGCTAATAAGAGCTTAATGGCCTCAATATTCTTCTCTTTCATTTGACCAAGTGCATTTTTAGCAGTTAATAACGTGAATCTCGCGAGAGCCTAAATTAACCATTAGCTTCACCTTAATTGATTGAGAAAAGAGAAACAATCAACGATTTCAACTTTTTCAAATAACCTGAATGAAAGCGTTTCGTTCCAGCCTTGATCGAAGCACACAAGCGGCACGTATTCCCAGCCGAAAACCGCGGATGCAAAGAAACCATTCTTCGATGTCGTCTGACATTTGCAAGCCAACGCTGAATGCTGCTAGACAAGACGTCCAGCAAATCTATAACGTCCTCATCAGTTATTACGTAACAGTGCAAAAAATTAAGCCGTAAAATTTCCAAGGAAATCGCCAGTCGTCATTGTGATTTACATCACAGCTTCAGCTTAATTGGATTGGATGCCGATTGTACTCGCCACATCAATCCTGTTGACGGGTGATTGCAGATAGCAGTTATAGGTCAATAACACGGCTGAGACAAAGGCGAAACGAAGTACTCCTATAGCGTGGTGAACACGTCAGCCCCAGGAAAGGACAACAGCGCGTTCGTTCTCCACCGCAGACACCAGCGGTCCGGAGTTTTGCAAATAACTTAGCATTATTATGTAATATCGTCCTGGATTTAGTTTTATTTTCAGCCGTGTAATAACCACTTGGAGCTCAATTAATGTGAAAAAATTAAGTTCTGGATGAGAGTGGAAAACGGAAACTAGTTGAGCCTTGGAGACAGTGATTATGCTCTGGCTTTTTGTCACATACAAGGAACTGTCCAGAATAGGAATCACAACTGCTAGCAGAATCAAAGAGAAGAATAGGAACGTTGTGACCCAGAATCCTATGAAATTCCAATTCGACTGATTTGATGGGTTGTGGCATGATTTAACTACCAACATTCTACCAACTACCACATTCGGTAATAAGCACTTTATATTACAGAATGGCGATTCTAGTTAGGAAGATGAATCAGAGATTATTGGTACTAGAAGAAGCAACATTTACGACTCAGCAAAGAAGTCTAAAAACAAGATATGGCTATACTCGTCACTTGCTTCTACTCGTTCAAATGCCAAGAAAAACACACTTTCGGCAATGATTACTGATTATCTCAGATATATTGGACCACCAAATCGTTGGCTTTCCTGATGTCCTGTGAGCTTAAGTCGTTGAAAGCTCCCATACACACATTTGATACTTCTTCATCACATGATTTTCGACATTTTTGCTTGGCATCTAATATTCCATCCACAGCTTTCAACCACAAGTTTGCCGAGGTATTTGCAAAACTCGGGACAGCAGGTGTCTGCGGTGGGGAACGAACGTGCTATTGTCCTTTCCGGGGAGTAACGCGTTCACCATCACACCATGCGGACCCTTCGTTTCGCCTGTCTCTCAGTTAGTTCTATCTTTTCTTTCAGTTTAACTTCCCACATGCGTCATTGAGATAAGCCAGCAAATGTCGATCTTCTACCGTTCATCAATACTATACCATACAATGAAACCTTTAAATGGATGGTAACGTGGGCAGGATTTTGAGTGCTCAAATGGTTGATCTCCGTTAAAATTCGTGTGAAACCTTTTGAGAACGACTTAGATAAACAACATAGAACAACAACAACTAGATCAGAAGTTGTAGCTATATCGTGAAGAAGATTCCAATGTCATGAATACCCTTTTCTGGATAACAAGACAATACTGCCGATTTGCCACTGTCCCGATACCTTCCATTTTTGTGTATCACTTGCGTTCCCACTTAAGCTGAGTCTCTCGGTCTCTGTTGCTTGGCAGAGTTATAAGACAAATTATGGTCGCTGAAGAAACATGAAAAACACTACATTCCCTTCAGCATCTTTTCCAATCTGATTATCAGGTAGATTTCCTGTTTGGTACTTGCTATCCTTTCCGAACCCCTAAGGAAGGGAAAACTGACGTCTAATGCTCGAATATGGATATCGGCATGTTCCAGACTTACGATAAACTCATCTCATATTTAGATACAGTTTTATCGAGATAGAGTGTACTAATGATTCCTCATTGACAAAATATCATACTTTGACTAAGTTGATTGGATGACGCACCTATACTCCTGGAAATGTTTAATGCAGGATGACGAAAAAAGGTTGGAATAGAAGTAATAGAGAATCGATAGTGGTCAAGTGAGTAGTGTTAAAGATATTCTCTCTAACGTTAATAGTTATATTCAGTAAAGCTGTCTTTCACTCGTTAACCCTTTGACCTCTCATTCCAATAATTTTCCAAGGAGTTTTGCAAAACTGTAACTTCGTGGTTGACTGCAACGCATGTCCAGGGTTTCACCACACAAGTGTGTCTTGGCCACAACTCCATTTTCGACTTTATCACGCCGTCTTAAAGACGTTAGATGACCCGGTTTTATTTCTGACCAATAGTATTACTACAGGCATCTTCGAAAATCCAGCTAAATAAGTTTAAAGCTATTTAGTTCAAAGAGCCTATTTCTTGAACACTACGGTTATCTCCCCTCCTCAGAAGAAAAGAAGCTTACTCAATAATCTCATTAAAAGCATATGCTCAGAACCTCGTGTAGCAAACTCGCTATGCAAACACACGTGGTCTTTGGTTAGATCCCGTACCTTCAGCTTAGCAAACCTTTCCTTCCCCAAGATCGGCAAATTGATAAGACACTTGTCTGTGAAGATCCAACCACTCACTTGATGCAATGCAATGTTCCAGAAATTTACCACATGGGACAGATATGCATTCACTCTACTCGACGATGATTAATAAAGTCAAACAAAAAGCGCATCCTCCAGGCATTGATCGACAGCAAGCGCATAATCCTTTTAATCAGGAACTCCGTTTACAATTGGTAATCGAATGCATGAAGTCGGACCGCGATTTGCAGCGAGAAGATTCATCCTCACAACAGGGCCTCCCAAACTGGCAGGAATCCGGCTTTTCCATCAGGAAGCCCAGCTAAAAGTAAACCAATGAAAATGTTAATACATGCCAACACCAGGATCCACCATCGTCCTGGTATCAAACTAGTCGCATGGTAGTAAATCTCCCTCTGATCAACATCGGTGGCGACTGATGATGGCGATAGAAATCTGCCAACATTCCGCTCTCATAGAAGTTCTAGACACTGGATGAAAAGTTACTTGGTTGGACCAAAGCACGGGGTTGAATCAAGGATGAAGTGCACCCCTCTGATCGACTAGGCTATATCATTACGATATAGCTAAAACGAGTCGAAAAACCGAATTTCCCAGATAATCACATATATTTTAAATACGATATTCGTAAACTACAAAGACCCCGGCCGGAAGAACCTGCAATGCTTCCAGAGGAGATCTCTTTCACGGAAAAATTGTAAAAAAAAAGTGTGGAATAGAACTGCAACAGAAACAAACAGAGACCATAATGGTGCATGTTCGAGGTATACAGCAATCAACATTTCACGGATAAAAAGAAGCTAGTAAAGTACGACCATAAAAAAGCTATTCTATCGAAGTATCTTTAGTGTATCATACCTTAAACATTGGTCGCACGTGGTGTTGATGCTGGGCCGACGTAAAATCAGCTGCAGCATTACTAGCGCTTTCCATAAGCGCACGAGCTGTTTCTGACATAGCCGCTAGTTCAAGTGTAGCCAACGCTCGGCGTTGCCTATCACCTGCTGTGGCCTTAGTAGCTGCAATACAGCGTTAAAGATGTTACGGATTACTGCCTCTTTTTCCTTTCTAAAAATCACTCAACCCACATTTGAGGAGCTTACTAGCACCGGCTTTCATTTTGATTTCATTCATAGCAATATCGTCGTATATAGCGCAGAGAAAATCAGACGGTAAATCGGCACCGTTATTAATTCCTCGGTTCATATTGACGTACTGCTCTTTAGTCATCTTGTTCTTGACCTTAAAAACTACTTAACAAACATCCAGCGAAACAGAAACGGACTTCCAAGTTGAGTAAAGAGTTCAAAAAAGAGTAAAGTGATTGAAAACCAAAAATCGATGTTTTTGAGAACAGAATCCTGTTCGGTATCCTTTTTGATTAACGATTTCTACAATTTACCAGTACAATCGATAGTATTCAGTTGTAAACCGAAACAGACGTTTCACTCTTCAAAAATGAAAATATATGCAATAGCTAAACAAGACATGACAAACTTTAATACTAGCAGCATACCTGTGGACTGTGTAAATCAGTGGTAAGCATAATAATAGAATAAGCAAGAACATAAGCCGTGTCAGCAGACGCAAATAACCCGAGACTGCAAAAACAACTAAAATCAATACAAACTACTGACATATGCACATAACAACGAATTATCAGCATAAACGAGATAAGGCAGACATCATCACTTGCATCTATGGAAAGAATACGTACAAAATGCGTAAGAAAAAGATTTGGATACATGGATGGCTCGTCCTTACTGGATGTGCCGGCTCCAGCATAGCTTCCATTTCTTCGGAGCTCCACTGGTTTAACCATTGTGGTTCCTTGGAGACCTGAGGTCAACATGCTCAAAGTTTACCCCAGGTTGTCACCTCCGCAGGCAGTTGCCGCCCTTTTAGATCAGACGAAGATCCGCCACTATGCGACTAGTTTGACATCAGGGTAGTGGTGGATCCTGGTACTGGTTTACTCCTAGTTGGGCTTTCTGATGGAAACGCAGGATTCCTGCTCAGCTTGGAAGACCCTGCTGGAGGGATGAATTACCCCGTTGTACATCGTAGCCACACACCCAGGAGCGCCCACCAGCCACGATGAGGCGGTAAACCGTTGGGAGGTGTGAGACAAGTAGTTTCAAAAAATCCGAATTTCGCCGAATAGCTTCATATATATATATATATATATATATATATCACCTTGGATTACACTCGCAGTATCGCGATGCGAACTTCTCCATGAGGCGATCAATCTTTTGTGCTTCTCCTGGTAATCGGAATTTCTCCAGAAACAAACGGAGAGCAGATACGAAATCACGTGACGAAAAGTCCAAATCATCGATGTATGCGTACATGATCTGCTTGTTAAATCTAAACAAAACAATTTTATTCCATAACAACCAATAGAAGCTTAAGAAAGGCATCTAAGTTGCTATGGACAAATTATCACTAACATGTATGAAAATTGCGATGGTAAAAAATCGAAACATGAAGCGCTATGGTCAGCGCAACTATTTGGTAAAAAGAAACAAAGATATCAAGGAGAATGAAAAGCGACCATTCTGTAACCTATACAATCTAACTTGAGAAAAAAACAGCACAAGCAATGCAACGCACTCATCCGGACTTCCCAAGAAATCGCCTACAACCGTTTTGTCCAACCGATCTTCTTTCATAAAGAACTCTGCGATTTCATTTGGCTCCGTGCCGACAAAACCATGCTCTTGTAAGAACGCTAATCCTTGTTTGGGCTTTCGTGAAAATCTATATAACACGAATTGTGTCTCCTCTTTAAACAAAGTACATGTATGAAATCCATGCAGTAGAGAAAAAGGCTTAGAACTCACAGCATGATACCATGCTCCATCAGTTCTTTCTTTTGTTTAAGATGCATAAACCTATCAACGGTAGGTGAAGAAGGAATTTCCTTCATTACGTCGTCATCGTCTGTAATCAAACAAATCTCTAAAGTGAAATTTACCAGGTCTACAATACTGAAAATCAAAAATGGTAACAAATAAGATTCGGCTTATTACATGGTTCTCGAAAGCTGTCGGTCAACTTTTTAATTCCTCATTTCCATCCAAATATACGACCTAGTACATCGTCTTCGAATCAAGGACACAAAAACGTAAAGTTTGTCTCCTATATATAAAGGCTAACGACTTCTAAGATGTGAAAACGCGCTAGCAATCTATTTTTGGGATTCCAAGGTATAATCATAGCAAACCAAACAATAGTGGACACCTGTGCGCCCTTGGTAGAGATTCTCCTTAGTTGTTTCACAAACATCAAACCAATCCACTAAGCACTGAAGAAGATCTGTCAAACAGCTTAACCCAAGTAAACGCATAGCACGTTCCCTAAAGACAAAACGGTTTGGTTTGATAAAGAAGAAACGAATTACAGACTAAAAAAAAACACAAGCACCGTTCTTTCTGAATAAGTGGAGCAGCTTCATTTACGGATGTCCTAGCCGTTTTAGAAACAACATCCACTAAACTTTCAAACACATTATGTGCAGTCAAATCACAATCGTAGTTCACGTATAAATCCACCACAGACTGAGGGTTGGCAAGGATTTTCCCTGAACAATTGCAGTCAAATCAAACAGCGCCAAACTAGGGACACTAGAACAGAATTCTCACCAATTGTGTGAAGAACGATCCATTTGTGCTCAAAAGAGCAAGAGGCTGATTCGAGCATAGATATAATTATTTCTTTGAAAAATACCTAAATGAAATTTAGCTGAACCACGACGAAATTACTAACTGGTACTCATAATTTTTCTGCTAACACCCATGATATTTTTCTCGAATATGAATACATCAGTAGATCCAAAAATGCAACTCACCTCAATCTGGAGTTTTAAATGAATCTTAAATTTGTCCAACAACTGTACAAAAATAGCAAGTGACTTTTCAAATATCTGAAAACAATGTATTCAGTTTTTATTCACTACCTGTACTTTTTTAACGGCAAGATATTACGTGGAACACAACTATAATGATGCTCAGGTATGTGCAAAATCGGACCGCTGTTGACTGCGGTGGGGATCGAAAACGTTATTACCCTTTATGGGGGCTAGCGTCCTCACCACCACACCATGTGGGTCCTTCATTTCGCCCTACTTTTAGTTTTAGCTGTGTTGTGTATGTCAATAAGTCAATAATACGGTTGAGAGAAATGAGAGACGAAGAAAGACTCGCATGGTGTGGTGGCGAACTCGTTACTACCCAGAAAAATGTGATTGCGTGTTCGATCACCACCGCATACTCCAGCGGTCCGGAGTTTTGCAAATGTCTCAGCATCATTATGGTTATATCTGAAAACACTTGAAACATTGGCTTAATAGAGGTTTAACTGACATCAAAGACATACTTTAACGTTCGATGAAACTGCATTCCTCGAAAGAGCAACACAAAGAGATTTCTTAATTAGCAATATGAATGGCTGAGCATTTTGTAAAACTGTAGCTGAATTTTGTAACACTAACAGTAGCATTTCCAAAGCCAACATTTTCGAATTGAGATGAGTGTTGCTAAAATAGGTTTATTTAGAGGAAGCATATTGCTGGAACAAACATTAGTTTGGAGCAACCGTAAGCCATAAAATGAGAGTGAATCTAACCGTGGATCATTTAAATCCCCTTCATCCTTTTGCGCAAGAACACAGAGTGAACGAAAAACTAGGAAAGCGTCCTTTTGCTCAACGTTAGGGAAAGAAATATGGTCATCATGTTGACTTCCTTCCAATTCACCAAAATTTGTTGACGAACCACCTGTGCATCGATTTCGACCTTCTTCATCATCGTCCTTTAAAAAGAAGCCATATTCATATTACTATAGTGGAAGTGATAGCACTAATTTTGCGGTATTCTTCATTCTACACTATCTCATTTCTTCTTATGATCATCAAAACCAGGACCGATTCCCCTTCGTAGCTTGCAAGTACTGTATAGGAAAATGCGAGCAAACAAGGAAGTGATGGGATCAGATCGGATTTGCCATAATACGATTGTGCCTTCGATGTGTTCAAAAACACTCACTTTCCTGGATACTTGGATGGCCCGTCTTCACTGGTTGTGCGGGCCCCAGCATAACCTCCATTCTTCGGAGATTTGCTGATTTAGCCATTGTGGTTCCTTGGAGTCATGAAGACAGCCTGGCCAAAGTCTGCACCAGGTCATCACCACCACCACCACCACAGGCAGTTGCCACCTTTGTGGATTAAAGGGAAATTTGCCACCATGCGACTAGTTTGATATCAGGACAGTGGTGAATACTGGCACTGGTATTCGTTTACTCTTAGCAAGGCTTTCTGATGGAAACGCCGGACTCCTTTTAAGCTTCGGAGGCCCTGCCGGTTGGATGAATCCCCTCGTTGTAAATCGCAGCCCGACACCTAGGAACATCTTCCAACCACGATGAGGCGGTAAACCGCTGGGAGGTTCAAAAATACTGCTACGATTAATATAAAACTTCAGAAAATAACTGTCTGAAACCACTTGATGATGGAAATACTATCACCTCTAACATAGGCGAACCAACTGAAGTAAGAAGATACTCCATAACTTCGTTGATGACAACTGTATCATCCTTAGCATTTCCCACGCGTTCCATATTAGAGAATACGGCATTGATTACCTTAAAAACTTCCGACTCAACAAAGTTTAAGAACATAAAGTCCCTTCACATGATGGAAGCGACTTTCACCTGAGTGAGAGTGGCCTTAGCTGTGGACTGATTGATTGGACTTTTTGTGGCAAGAAAAATGGTAAAGCATGTGCGTACAGCAAGAAGAAGAGAAGCTTCGTGTACTTCGCAATTATTTGCAAGTACTACGGCCAAGATAGCCTAGAATTAAGCCAAATATAGCGCTCTCCTTGTTATCACGGAGCGATTTGCTTAGAAGACCAGGTGATAACAAAACAAAACCTTGATAATTTGCAGTAGAACAGCCTCATCTGTTCCTTGACCCATAAATGAAGAGCATATGGCCTCTACGATACGATCAATTAGCTTTCTATCCGGATTTGATGAATCTGCACCACGACCGGTAAGGTGTCCATAGGCAATAAGCTTCTGTCAAACGTAAAGAATCAAGAAAAAAAGGAAATGCGAAAAAAGAAGCCAAGAAAAAAGCTGAAAAAAGCAGTCAACTTACTTGGAGGCAATCCAAAGCAGTAATAACAATTTTAGGACTCTTTGATTTGCAGGCTAATTCAAAGGGCAAGAAGTAGCGATCAGCCTCAACCACTCGTTCTTTGTCAGGAAGAACATCGTTGCCACTGTAGCTCCCATAATTTTCTGCCTTCAGCTCCTCTATAAAAAACCGGGTTTTCGCAAAGTTCTACGTAGCCCTAAGCAATAAAAATAAACTGAAAAGATTTAAGTGAAAAAGTGCAAAAATAAGCATACCGAGCACGTTTTCACACGCTTTTTTAAGCTGAAGATTCTCCTTTCGTTTTATGTCGCGATCCGAAAGAATCCTCTCAATGGCAGTTCGAAGGAACATCACTCCCGTATGTTGCACGGCTGGGTCCATTACCACTCAACGAGCATACTAAAGTATTATTTCTAAAGTAACGCTCTGAAGACGGAAGAGAGAACACCAAACAACATCAGACAGAAGTAAATGAGAAACGGAATTACAGCTTGAAGCTGAGCTACAAATCTAACAACCACAAGTACCCAGTAGGCGGTTTCGATCTACGATAAGTGGGGACCCAGCGCAGCCACAGCTTCGCGCGCGACGCAGCGGCGCCGCCTGCGGCGAAGGCGCACGCCCTCGTGGAGGGGTTCCTGTCCGCGATCGTGTGCACCAGGTGTTTTTTCTTCTAAAAGTGCACGAGTAGGGCTTACCATGGCTTTTTGATTCGGTTGTTTTCCTCACTTACAGTAATTATGAATGAAACAGTAATATGTGACTATGTGTGACCTATTTACTATTTACACACCTTATTAATGTTGCACAACAATGCACATATTGATCTAGGCCGGGGTAAGATTAGTTACTTGGATACATGGATGGCCCCTCTTTACTGGTTGTGCGAGACCCAGTACAAGTTCCATTCTCCGGGGTTTTGCTGGTTTAGCCATTGTGGTTCCATGGGGTCCGAAGGTCAACCTGGGCAAAGTTTGCTCCAGGTCGTCACCACCACAGGCACCCACCGTCCGCGTGGATCAAAGGGAGGTTTGCCACCATGCGACTTGTTTGATATAAGGACGGTGACGGACTCTGGTATTGGTTTATTGTTAGCCAGGCTTCCTGATGGAAACGCCACGCCGGACTCCTTAGCTTGGGAGACCCCGATGGGAGAATGAATCCCCCGCTGTACGTCGCACCCCGACACTCAGGAACACCTCCGAGCCGTGATGGCGCGGTAAACCGTTGGACGGCGAGATAAGGTCGTAATATACATATCTGATTTCTTTAAGTTGAGGTCATGTGGAAGAAAAAGCGTTGTACATACACTTCTCAGTGTCGTGAAAAAGTACCAGACCAATACGTTTAACCCACAACGGGCTATACGCACCCTATAGTGTACATACGTGACGGCGCCAGTGGATGTTATGTATACTATAGGGTACATTTTCAATTCAATGGGTTCCAGATCTTTTTTTACCGCACTGTATATTCATCGGGTAGTTAATCGAAAGCATATCAAAATAAGGGTGTCACCAGAAAAGCCATTCTTGGCACTTAGTAGTTCACAAAAAACCTCTTTAGGACAAGTTCATTAACAGGTAATTTGACCAACAATTAACTGTTATTTCATTTTAAGCGCTATAATGAGTCATGATTTTTGTATGGAATATGCGGGTATATGAAATACTGAAATATACGCAACATAGGTTGCAAAGCTCCCAACGGTTTACCACCTCATCGTGGCTGGGAGGTGTTTTTACGTGTTCGACTGCGATGTGCAGCGGGGGGATTCATCCCCCTAGCAGTTTCCTAAGTTGAAAAGGAGTTCGACGTTTCGATCAGAAAACCAAGTTTGGAGTTAACCAATACCAGGATCCAATACCGTCCTGGTATCAAACCAATCGCATGATGACAAATCTCCTTTTGATCCACAAGGGCGGCGACTGGCTGTGGTAGTGACGACCTGGGGATGATTTTGACTAGACTGACCTCGGGGCTCCAAGGAACCACAGTGGCTAAACAAGCAGAATTCCGAGAAAAAGAGAATTATGCTAGGGCCCGCACAACCAATGAGGACGGGCCGTTCAAGTAAGGAAGTATCAAGTATTCCCAAAAAAACGAAAGCATAGAGACTGAAAATAGGCGTCGTCACATCCGTGTACAGCAGAAATAATCGCCGTGGCTAATGGGTTACGTATTGGACGCCGTTTACAACATAGATCGAAAACAGTCATTGTTCGTAACATAAATCTCTTTCAATTTTAGGGTTCTGATCGTGTTAACATTCTCATCACAATCTTAACTCTTATTTACTGCCTTTTTCTTCTTAATGGCAGGGTATGTTGTGAAATATAACTCGTATGAAGTGCTGAGATATTTGCAAAACTCCGGACCACAGGTGTATGCAGTGGGGAACGAACACGCGCTGTTGTCCTTACCGAGGAGCAGCGCACTTCACCACTACACCATCCGGGTCCCGGTGAAGTGGTGAAGTGCGCTGCTCCCCGGTAAGGACAACAGCGCGTGTTCGTTCCCCACTGCATACACCTGTGGTCCGGAGTTTTGCAAATATCTCAGCACTTCATACGAGTTATATTCTCATCACATTTCTTTTTTATTTTCGTGAAAAGTAGTTGTTGCGCTAGAGAATGTATACCTACTTGGATGTTTGGATGGCCCATCTTCACTGGTTGTGCAGGCCTCAGCATAACCTCCATTCTTCGGAGATTTTCTGGTTTAGCCATTGTGGTTCCTTGGAGTCACGAAGACAGCCTGGCCAAAGTCTGCCCCAGGTCGTCACCACCACAAGCAGTCGCCGCCTTTGTGAATCAAAGGGAGATTTGCCGCCATGCAACTAGCTTGGTACTAGGACGGTGGTGGATCCTGGTATTGGTTTTCTCTTAGCTGGGTTTCGTGAAAGAATCGTTGGGCTCTTTCTCAGCTTGGAAGACCACGCTGCGGCGATCAATTCCACCGCTGTACATCGCACCACGACACGTAGGAACATCTACTAGCACGTTGTGGCGGTAAGCCGTTGGGAGGACAGAATGTATAGAATCGGATAACTCTTCTGTTACATGGAGCACAGCTTAAATTGTATAAAAGACGAAGAAGAACGACGAAGACCGTCTTCGATTCTTGTAAAGAAGCCAGCGAACAGATGATGAATGCAGATGTTCGCATTCACGCGTTGTCCGGTATATGCTGTTTGCATGGGTATGTATGTGGTGATACATAGCACTTTTGAGGTCTACGTAGTACTTAAAGAGCTTACATGGCGACTTACTTCTTCTGAACCGAGATGTCCACAACATCAACTCGTACTTCACAATTCAGATTTTTGATGAATCCTTTTATAGGTGTATTAATTATGCATTTAAAGCGAAGCATAGAAGTGCAGGTTATACAACGGAAAGAGTCGATGATATCTGGGCGAGAGTCTTAACGAAGTGAATCTTAAGAAATTGCAAGCTTACTAGTGGAAACTAGCTTACTGGATGTGAGATCTCTTTACAAGTTAGGTTAAGCAATTTTCTTTGCAGTTGGATATGAGTTACGATAACGCAGAACTGTTCATTGATGGCCGATCCCGCATCAGCTTCACCAAGTTTCTCATCCCTCTGGAATCGGGATGGTACCAGACTTCCTTGGAAAAAGTTCAATCTCTGCAATCCAAGTGGGAACACTTTAGGCCGGCTATCTCAGTAGCACGGAGAGAATTGACTCGACCAGCACTCAACGATATTCATGACGAAATGAAAATCCTCACGCAGCAGCTGAATCTACACGGAAAAGTTTGAATGACTTTCGTCGACTATGGATGCGAAGAAATGAATCAAATACAAGAAATGCTGTGATCCGCACAGTAAGTGTGAAAGACGGGCCGTTTAAAAAAGTATTACTCGCAGGCGTCACTGTCGCATGTGTTACGCATAGTCCGGTTATCGGCTGACTCAAGCGTGTCAGCGAAGTTCTTATTGATCCTAGGCTCGTTTCTGAGCTGTAATGTGGACTGCACTCACTCACGTTACCCAAAACATATTACATTTTCCATATGAAGGGTTTATTTTGATGTTTTTGGCGACGGAAAAGCTCCTGAGGCTCTGTCACGCGTGTGTGATATTGAGGGTTTGGGGGGAGTACGAACTATTCCGCGGTCACTCGATTACAGAGTTTTGTACGAATAGCCGAGCCAAAAACAATTTTGTATGCCTGCTAGTACACTGGCGCTTGTATGTATGATGCTGAATCAATCTACGTCTTATGGTAGGTATAGATGACCGCATTTGGTTCGTTTCTTGAGTAAACGGCTTGAACTAAACTATATGGAAGAAGATCTGTGAACACATCATCATCCTCCAAGAAGGCCACTTCCATACATAAAAACAATAAGGGTCCATCAAAAGTGGAAATCATCCTGAAAGTTTACGATTTGTGCTGGCGTTTCTTCAAAAGATCTTTGTAATACTTCTGCACTGGTTTGGAAATTAGAAGATTCAGTGTTCACTGTATAGGTGAAGTACCCTGTTTTGATTTCTTGACGTTGTCGAACATATTATTTCTATCTCATTTGGCAAAAAATCTTTATTGTTAAATAAATACTGAAATGATGGAAGTTTTTCAAAACATTCCTATTGCTGGAAGAATAATTGAAAGCAACCACTTTCGTTTCCCATATGCAATAAAGCGCTTAAAACGAACCTAATGGATTACACTAGTTATTACGTTTAGTGGTGCGTGTAGTCCATTAGTTAGAAGCGCACTGTAATACACTTGGTATCGATCCCGCACGCTAGGGTCACCTAGCCCTCCATCACTCGGGGGTCGGCAAATTGGTACGAGGCTTTCTAGGAGGATAATAGCACTGGTTCGATACTCGGTAGGCCAACGCGAGTTATTGTAAAGGCCATATATGAATTCAATCACCTCCAACCATGCTTAATGAAGTCGAACACATGGTCACATGGTGCTTCCCTCAGGGATAGATCAACGAAGAGAACTTTATACTTTTTTTTGTTATGTTTAGTGAATTGCTATAAAGATTAGTGTACTAGATGCGATCGATACTGGATGGAAGGACTTTCAATCTACAAGAGAATTACCAAAGTCTTTAATTTTACAATGTTTACTTTTTATTTAATGCCTTCTATTATTTTTATGGCAGGGTATTAAGCGAAGTACAGCAACTAGATTGCTGAGATATTTACAAAATCGGACCGCAGGTGTCTGCGGTGGGGAACGAACGCGCTATTGTCCTTTCCGGGGAGTAACGCGTTCACCACCACACCATGTGGGTCCTTCGTTTCGCCTGTCTCTTAGCTAGTTCTATCGATGTTTTGCCATCAGCAATGTCTAATTTTATTATGGTCTTCGATCCGAGTTTTTTCTCTATCAAT